ATTACCTTCTCAGTTTGAGGGAAAGCGACACTTATAACAACGATGCTCTACGTTTCTGTGCACTCTGGCTTGACAAATCAGACAGTGGAACTGCAAATTCAGCTGTTTCTCGGTATCTCAACGAGGTACCCAGCCGGAAATTTGCACCACTAATGAACCAGCTATCCTCTCGTTTGCTCGATATCTCTGATGACTTCCAGAAATTGCTTACTCAATTGGTATTCAGAATATGTGTCGAGCATCCTTTCCATGGCATGTACCAAATTTTTGCCAGCAGCAAGTCCAAGGGAGGAAAAGATCAGTCGTCTCACTCACGTTTCCGTGCTGCGAATCAGCTTGTAGATCGTCTGAAGAACGATAGTCACATCGGTCAGACTTGGATTGCCGTCCACAATGTGAACATCAGCTATGTTCGATTTGCAATCGACAAACCAGACAGCAAATATAAAAGTGGTGCTAAAGTTCCACTGAAGAACTTGGCTACTGGCCAGCGCCTTGGACAAGATGCCATCGCCTACAAACTACCACCACCGACAATGAAAATCGACCTCCGTGCAGATTGCGACTACGGTCACGTTCCTACGGTCACGAAGTTCCAACCTGAGTTCACGATTGCATCCGGCGTTAGCGCCCCGAAAATTGTGACTGCCGTTGCATCCAACGGCGAGCGCTACAAGCAATTGGTGAGCTTTATCTTTATTTGAAGTCTGTCAACGTTCTCAAACAAAAACTAACGAAACAACAGTACAAGGGAGGAAATGACGACCTGCGACAAGACGCCATCATGGAGCAAGTGTTTGAGCAAGTTAGCAGTCTTCTAAAAGACCACCAACCCACACGCCAGCGGAGCCTAGGCATCCGGACATACAAGGTTCTCCCATTGACACCAAGCGCAGGAATTATTGAGTTCGTTCCAAACACAATTCCCCTGCACGACTACCTAATGCCCGCACATCAAAAATACTTCCCCAAGGACATGAAACCCAATTCTTGCCGGAAACACATCGCCGATGTGCAGACCAAATCATTTGAGCAACGCGTCAGAACTTACCGACAGGTGACCGAGCATTTCCATCCAGTAATGAAGTATTTCTTCATGGAGAAGTTTAACAACCCGGATGACTGGTTCAGCAAACGGTTAGCCTACACACGAAGTACCGCTGCGATCTCTATCCTTGGTCATGTTCTCGGGCTTGGCGATCGACATGGACATAATATTCTCCTAGACGAGAAGACCGGAGAAGTGGTGCACATTGATCTTGGTGTGGCCTTTGAACAAGGTCGTGTGCTACCTGTTCCCGAGGTAGTGCCGTTCCGGTTGACCCGCGATCTAGTTGATGGATTCGGAATCACCAAAACCGAAGGCGTTTTCAGACGCTGTTGCGAATTTACCCTGGAAGCCCTTCGCCAAGAATCGTACAGCATAATGACGATCCTTGACGTGTTACGTTATGATCCGTTGTATAGTTGGACTGTTTCCCCGCTTCGGGTTAAGAAAATGCAGATGCAAGACAACCAAGCCGGTGATGGACCTCCAGCTCTGCCCGGTGCACCTGATGCTCTCGTCTCGAAGAGTGAGAATGAGAACGAACCTAGTGAAGCTGATCGGGCGTTGACAGTCGTGGCGAAAAAACTGAGCAAAACGCTCAGTGTCACTGCTACTGTCAATGAATTGGTGCAGCAGGCGTGTGATGAAAAGAATCTTGCCATGTTGTACTGTGGTATGTTTCTTTTTCCGTATTCAATCATCGACCGCTTTACTAACTTTCAATAGGCTGGGCATCTTACGCATGAGCATTGTGGCATTCTGTGTGAGTCTCGTTTCACGATAGTATTGATACCTTCCGGGGGTTGAGTTCATATGTATATAAGGGAATTGGGGTTAACAAACATAGATCAATGGACATATTATCTCCTGAGTCTAGTGTTCCGTCCAGCGTCTTTCCTCCTATCTGGTTTTTGACCTATAAAATCATATGGCAACTGGTAGTTACTGAGAATACCATACAAATGTGCATGATGGTCATCGATGTCCACACAGTTAGGGTTCCAAGGTTGTCAACATTAACACAGTCACCTAAAGTATTTCTTTTCCCAAATAGGAATAGTGTTAACAGAAGCTCTTTCAATCATGTTCTATCATTGGTTGACCTTCAAGCTCTATCCATGGACCAACAGGGTCTCATCCATGGATGGATTCGTGTAACAAAGCGGCAAGAGATGAGTCCCAAACCGGAAGGGTGGTTTATCGTATAAAATCTATATGAGAGGACCTTGGGGGTTCTCCGATGTATATAAAGCCATTTCAACCTTCCATTCCTTTATTTTTCCTCTACAATATATTCCTCTGACTCCAGTGTTTATCCCAGTAATGGATGCAGTTAATAATGGATGTATGCAGCTGAATGAAACCGAGGTCCTTCCATGACTCCGCATCTCACCCCTCAATTTATCCGGACACAAAGGAACATATTACTACCTAGGCATGATACATATATAAATAGCTAACTTCCTCGGTATACACAGTGTGCATCCGGGCACAAGTTGCATTAACCAGCGTGTGTAAAATGATCCGTCGATCCGAAGGCCCCCCAAACCCCGCAATTCGTTGATCTAGTTCTCCTCTTTTATGTACTTGGCGCCATAAGGAATAATCTACTTAAGAATCATTCCAGCGTTCGATTGCACGTTTTCTCTGCAGATATATCTCCGCTGAAACCCCAGTTGAGATTAACTTCAATTTCACAATTCAATATCCGACCTTCTTCCTATCTATCACCAGCAATCAGTCGATATGGCCGCTCCTGAAATCCCCGCCAAGCAGAAGGCCGTCATCTACAACCAGCCTGGGACTGTTTCGACAAAGGTGGTGGAATTAGATGTTCCAGAGCCTGGTATCGGCGAGGTATTGATTAATCTGTACGCCTTATTCATCGCGATTTTGATCCTAGAATAATGCTGACAATGTTAGAACACATTCGGGCGTGTGTCATTCGGACTTCAGTATCATGACCAACAAAGTATGCACACATCCTATTCTCTTAATGTCCCAAACACCAACTAATACCCGCCAGTGGACCACGTTCCCACACCCAACCCAACCAGGCCAAGTCGGCGGCCACGAAGGTATCGGTAAGGTAGTCAAGCTCGGTGCAGGCACCGAATCTTCAAACCTGAAGATCGGGGATCGAGTGGGCGTGAAATGGGTTTCCAGCGCATGCGGGCACTGCCGTACGTATATACGTTTTCCTCTCATCAACAACCAAAACCTCAAGCCTAACACCACCCCCATCCAGAACCCTGCCAAGCCAGCTCCGACGGACTGTGCTTCAACCAGAAAGTCTCCGGCTACTACACGCCGGGAACATTCCAGCAATACACGCTGGGACCCGCAAACTACGTGACCCCCATCCCAGACGGTCTTGACTCCGCCGCAGCGGCACCACTCCTCTGCGCCGGCGTAACTGTATATTCCGCACTGAAGCGCAGCAACGCGCGGCCCGGACAATGGGTGGTAATCTCCGGTGCCGGAGGCGGCCTAGGCCACCTTGCAGTGCAGCTCGCGAGCCGGGGAATGGGCCTGCGGGTGATCGGTATCGACCACGGCAGCAAAGAGGGACTAGTTAAGGAATCTGGGGCGGAGCATTTCGTAGACATCACGCAGTTCCCGAGGGATGATAATGGCGCGGCGCTGACGAAGCATGTCCATTCGCTGGCGGATGGACTGGGTGCTCATGCGGCGGTTGTCTGTACGGCTATTAATGCGGCGTATGCACAGGCGCTGCCGTTGCTGCGTTTCAATGGTACGCTTGTCTGCGTGGGCATGCCGGAAAATGCCCCGCAGGCTATTGCGACGGCGTTCCCGATTTCGATGGTTGGTAAGCAGTGGACTATTACGGGATCGGCGGTTGGGAGTCGGAAGGAGGCTATTGAGACTATGGAGTTTGCTGCGAGGGGTGTTATTAAAGTGCATTATCGGACTGAGAAAATGGATGCTTTGACGGGGGTGTTCAAGGAGATTGGGGAGGGGAAGCTGCAGGGTCGGGTTGTGTTGGATCTTTCTGGATGAACGCTATGCATGTAGGATATCGAATCTAACTTTATCTTCTTTGCGGCCATGAAACTTACGTTTACTTGGTAAAAAGTTCTATAGCTGGTTGACCGGGGTGAGATGTTACAGTTGGGATATATATATTTACTTCGGCTACCTGCTACTAGTTAGGATACTTCGGACTAATTGAATAGTTTGATATTCTTGTCGAACACACAGAGAAAAAAAGTTAATTTTCGTCAAGTGCCTGTGTTTCGTTCGACTCAGGAAATGCCAAAAATATACTTTGTATTGGAAGGATTAAAAAAAAAAAAGAATTGACCGACGCAGGGATCGAACCTGCAATCTCTTGATTCGTAGTCAAGCGCCTTGCCATTGGGCCAGCCGGCCAGGATTATTATGCAAGTTTGCCAAAATGTGCATTATAACCCAAACACAAGATACCTAAGCATTTGCCCCAAGTAACATTGGTTCATATTGCCAGTAGTCACTTTACAAAAACTAATGTTGTAGTTATTAATTGAAGCCTGCCGATGCTTATAGATAGGTTAATAAAATCAATACCTTCTAAAATAGGCATAGAGACTTCTAAAGTAAATTGAATCCGAAGAAAATTAGCAGATATCTTGGCCGCTATTTAGGGGTGAGTGAATCTTTATAGAGTAGACTGTTGTATGTACCGGTGGCATAACGTTATTGATTTTCGTTTTACCTCATAGCATTCATCCAATGACTATTCAATGATTTTCCTTGGAAAATTAAAAAACAAATAAAAATAGAGTATAGTTTTGATTTGAGTTCGTGTAATATTAACGGCCTCACCAAGCAATGGTAGCAGCAGGCCAGGAGCAAAGAGCTATATAAACTCCCAAGAGCCAGAAAAGACACAAATATTCCACCTCGAAGCACGAAATGCACCCACATAAATGCACCATAGCAATTATTGCAATTAGGTTTCACTTTCTTCCATCCCGGGCAGTCTCAATGATCGTACAAGACCCGTTATCTCCAAACCTTCACGCTGATCACTCCGATCTGCCACAGAACCAGGCTGAGGACTCAGAGAAGTACGCCCATTCGACACAGTAGGCTCGTAGTTATTAGTACAGTACTGAGAAGCGTTAGGCGCGCCCTCAGTCGACCCTACAGGCTCGTAGTAGCGTCGCCGGTACCGAGAAGCAATAGACCCCCGTCTAGCCCGTGAACGAAGTTGAGCACAATCGTCCCCATAGCTCGGCTCAAAATTGTTAGCCGGTGAACGAGATCGAACGTATAAATCCGTGTAGTTTCTCGGTTCGGAATCGTCGGGGGTCTTAATCCAGCCCAGGGAGGTGATAGACTCCCGTCTAGCTGGTGAACTAGGCTGAGTGCAATCATCTTCATTCTTCGGCTCAACGTGGTCCGAGTGTTCAATCCAGTGTTGGGAAGTGATAGAATCACATCTAGCCGGCGAACGAGGTTGAGCGTATACATCACCGTAGTTCTTCGACAAATCATGCTCGGGATTGTGAATCCAGTGTTGGGAAGTAAGAGGTAGCCAGTTCCCGGAGATATCTCCCGCGCTCTCCACACAGTCCCAAAAGACATCCCGCCTTCGAGCGGAACTAGAAAGATACCCCTCGCAGTCTGTGAACAGGGAATTCCATAGTTTGAATAGAGCTTGTACATCTGGCGTATTAGCCAGTTTCTGTATACGCTCCCATCTTGGCTGCAGATCTTCTAGGCGAGATCTCTTGAATTTAACAGATAGCACAGCCATCTGCTCCAGCGGCGTTTCTGCATGTTTGATGAGACTGAAGTGTTCATAATCGACATGGTTTTCGATAAGTTCAAAGATGATCTGCAGTTTTGTTTGAATGTTTTCGTATGCGCGCATCTGCTTCCAGTATTGGTCGACGATCGAGGACAGTTCGACGAAGTCATCCTCTCCAAGGTCAACGATGGATTTTGCTTCGGGTCGGACCGTAGACATATGTGGTTTCTCGGGTTCGTGGAGCTCGGGGTAGTATTCATCTGGGGCATCGGGGTTGCAGTACTTCCAGACTCCTTCTTTCCGGGCGTGTGTCTCGACCTCATTCTTCCATGATTTCCAGTTGCTGCGGGTGAGTATTTCGGGCCCTTCCTCTGAATCCCCCTTGATGTTCATTTTTGGCTTGGATATTTTCTTGATGATGTGTTAGCTTTTCGTGGTTGGTTTGTAGATGTTAGAAAAGTAAATAGGATGCACTGAACTGGAGTGGTCTAATTGTGAGTCAATTACCGAAATAGGTGTCGGAGGTCATCCCATATATCCAGGTTTAATACGTCACTCCAAACCTTGGGATGAACGTGCTTCCCTTCAAGGTTTCCTTTTACGGACAATTTCTTAATATACTATCCATAACAAGAATAGCCGGCCATTAATGCTCTTTCCTTTGACTACGTAGTTTAATAGTCTGATTTGATTTTGGATGATGTAAAGGAAATTATAGTTACGATATCACTACGATGTCCTTTTTTTGATGTTATCACCCATTATTGATGTTGTAGGTAAAAGTATGGATCAATAGTTCATGATTTCGGACCATGATGACTATATATTACAAGGCTCCAGGGCTCCTCTATACCTGTGGACGGACATGAACCACATAGTTAGTTAGTTAGTCTGGGTTAGTACCCGTTAATGTAGTCCTTGCTCGTTTTAGGGCTAAGCCGGTGTCTACCACAGACACTGGCAACATTCTAAAACTGGCCAGTTGCTGCTAGCAGAACTCGAAAGATGTAGAGTTCATTCTCATGGCCGACATAACACTTATCGCACCCTTGCACCTGCCCTCTTTCCTTTCAACACTACATAGACAGATCCCTGCATAGTTATAATGCCATTGTTAAAATACACAACACCCACTCTTGCGGCAGGTGTCCACCTACATACATGGAACAAGCCCACCCCATAAGCTAAACACAGCACTAAGCAAACTAGTCCCCAAAGGATCCAGGGTTATGGCCGTATGCACGGCCCAATATTGACTTTTACGGCCTAAACTCGGCTTTAATCAAATAATAAATATGTAGGTACCTGGGTACATTCCTAATCGCACACTTGGACATCAGTCCCAGTCTGAAACATGGAAAATGTGGCATGGCAATATCCACTTTTGATTGTTCACATGGAATCCCTCCATAGTGTAATATAAAGTATAGTATGTAGTATGTAACTATGCCTAATATTACGATTAAGACACCGTATTTCCCCGGCGCGTTATTGGTGAGCGTTATCGAACTTAACTTGTGCATTGGGCGTGGATTGTGGGGGCAGATTTTAAATTAAGATGCCGCGTGGTTCATATCCGTACCCAAAATGTTAGTACAGAGTATGTACTCCGTAGATAAATAGATCATCGGGTGTGCGAAAAGCGGATCTGAATCTCAAGATCTACATTTGGAATTATGTATCCATGGATGACCTCTAGTCTTGGTCTCTCGGCATTGTATTTGAGTCTTGCTGATTCGTGTGTTTGTTGGGCGTCTGAAAACCACCGAGACATTCCAAATTTGTGGGTGACCCATCGCCTACCGCACATCGGTTCCATGGTTCAACGTCGTAAATTAGGCTAGCTCATCTCTGCCCACATGGGCGGTGACACCCGGCTTACAGGGCCGTACCATGGACGTGGAAACCCAAGGCCGGAGTGCTGGGTTTGGGAATGACGACATGCTAATCATGGGATCTGTATTTTGCTTTTTACGTGGTCATAGATATTGATGGTTCCAGTGGATTTGAAAACTTTGTCCGTGCTGCCTGTGATAGTGATTGTATATGAGAATGACTATGGCAAATACTAACAGCTCTTATGATCGTAAATAGGAAACGAATGACATGATATGACTGCGAAGCAAAATAGAACTGGAGCGATTCGTCGCTGATGAAACGTAAAGACACGATGCAGCGGGGTATTGCAATGAATGAACACGATGGCCTCCCAGAACAAGATAACAAACATATGTATAAGAAAAAAAAGATCGGGAACAATTCAACGGGTTCGTTTAGAGTATCCTCCGGAATTGCCATTTCCAGCCGCCGGTCGCTTTTGTCCTGATCCCATGGCAGCCACAGCGGCAGATTCAGCGATACGGATCAACGATCCTAGATGGAGAAGATATGGCTTCGGGGCACGGTTGACTTCGATCTTGCGGAGGATGTCGCGCAGCCGGTTGGCGCACTGGTGGAGGTCCACCGGCGGAAGGGAATCAAGCGCGTGAAGGACAAAGTGCCGCGCGTCTGTTTCGGAGTCTGTTTCGACCGACCCGATGAGCAAGTGGTATAGATTGCGCTGGTCCTCGTCTTCGCCGTGGAAGGACTGCCGGCCCATGGGATTGCCTTCGAGGGGATCATTATTGCGAGCCACAACTGACTCCAGGAGAGACACGAGGGCTTCGGCGGCGCCTTCCGAGCCGTGCGGGGCACGCGCTGCGATGTTGACTTCAATCCGGGATACCCAACGCTGGAGCTGTGCGACGACATCGTTGACCTCTACGCTCACGGGACCCGCGGGCAACTCGCCGGTTGCGCAGTATCGATCGAAGTCGTTGAGTAGTCGGCGTGAATGTTCTTGTACTTTGTCGAAGTAGATGGCCGCACACGCGCCTGCGGGCATTGCCTTGCAGAGACTGTTGAAAACCCCGTCGTCGTGCATTGCAAGCCGGAACATCGTCGCTTCGAAATCTCCTTGGACCACGCACTCCTCTGCCGTTCGTGCTTGCTCGGTTGTTTCCGTCAAATCCCGGCGGGTGTCTTCTGGGAGAGTCCGGTTGAACGCAGAGAAGATGTCCCGGACCTTTTCTGTCCGCGTCATCCCATCCTCCTCCTCCCGTAGGTACTGCCATTTGAGCTGCGTTGCGACTGAAATTAGATTACCCTTTAGGAGGTCCTCAATGCGAGGGAGGCGGTCCGGACGTCCGTCTGGAGTCAGTGACACTTCCGTCGGCCGAGGCGTCGGGACGAAGCAGCCGTGCAGTTGGTCGACGAGCCACTGTTCAGGGGATGAGGGTTAGTATTGTCGGTTCAAGCTTCCTTTCCCCAAAGGCCATACTCACAAAGATGTGCTGGCACGCCCCATCCGGTCGATCCTGGAAGACGGCACAAGTGCAGGTAGACGAGTCCGCGCCAATGTGCACCTGTGGCTGATCCGACAGCTGGAAGTCATAGCCGGCGGGAGTAGAGCGACAGTTGATGACATCAAAATGGCCGGTCAAACCCACAAAGGCCCTGGCTTCAGACTCGGAATCTAGTTGGCTGAGGTCATAGGTAATGCCGGACGTTGCGAGGACGGAGGCGCTGTTCGATTCAGACTGTCCGACATCGCTGCTTTCCTCATCTTCGTCCTCGTCCTCCTCTTCCCCATCACTGGAGTTTTGCTCTGAAGAGCTATCATCTTCTCCACGATCACTATCGTTGGAAGTGTCCGACCGCCCCGCGTGGGCCCCCTCTAGCAGGCAGGACTGTATCTGGCATGTTTCGACCAATAGACAGCCTGTGAAATTGCCCTGTTGGAGCGGACATGGCGAAAAGAAAAGGGAGAAGACAAGCTTCCCTTAAGGAAATCAAAGAGGGGCTACAGATTGCGAAGAACAGACGTATTTTCCCACACGGTGGACTTTCGTAGACTCACAGAGTTCTCCCGACCCATGGACGGAAGCGGGTACACTGAACCATGGAACGGGCTTCCCTGGCGCCCGCTTTAAATAATCAGGGGCCATTGAAGACACACACTATGCTTTTCATGCTTTTGTCCTCATTTCACCTGCGCAAAATAATTGCAACTTTCATGGGTGGGGGTACGGTCTTCGGGTATTGCAAGGTTTTTTTTTTTTAAAAAAAAAAATACCCCCAACAGCGCGTAGTGAAAGGTAAGTGCTCAGGCAGCAAAGAGGGGGAATTTGGAGGCTCGATTGGAGGTGCCGCAGGAGAGAAGGGAAGGAGTGATGTCTCAACAAGGCTGCGCCGTTTAATCCTACCTAGCACCATCTCATGGGATCAGCATCATCGCGCAGCGCACAGACATCCACTAATGGGGGATCTTGTGGAAAGATCTGGGGTTTAGTGGCTGGCAACCGGGAACAGATTTGGCCCCGAGGATGGCTACGGTAGTCTCCGGAGACACAGGGCCATGTATCGTAAAGCTGCTTGCTGCACGGGTTTTGTCTGAGAGCAATGCATGCGACTGGAAAGAATGTAAATCGACAGAAAGTTAAAATCTTGGTATGTGTATGTAGATCCCCGAGAGTCCCAAGCTGGCTGATTCTACAGTTGGCCAATGCAAAGCTTGCATATCGTATCCGGATGTGTAGACGCTGTTGGCGAGCTCGAGATGCGCGTGGATGATGTCGCCGAAGCTGGGGAGATAACGAGGGTAGGGAAACACTTGTACTCCCAATACAGTACAAGATAAAACCCCAGCCCAGACCTCACAATGTAGAGGCCCAAGCTGTGATCGCCGCCCGAGCAACCGAAAGCAAATTGGAAATTGTTTCGAAGCTCCAGAGCAACATGACTCGGAGCCGCCACTCGGATAAGTTCCTTTTCCTTGACCATGATTGCACCCTTGTATTTTCCGTAGTGGAGCATTACTAGGATGCCATGGCTCTCGGGATAGGTCGGGCACCCGAGGCTCTTTTTTGTCCAGATGCCACACAGCCAGTCCACGCGACAACCATGCCTCAAAAGGAAAATAAAGAAAGCGCACTAAAGCCCCTGTTCATCAACGTGGGTTGATTGTGACAAACCATTCCAAATAAGGGTTTCTTGGCGGACATGGCGGGAACGCCGATGAGAATTCCGATGCTCCAATCCCCAATGATGGCGAGCGCAGCCGAGCATAAGCAAGAGGTATATATCGAAATGTTCTTATTTCTCCGGCACCATACGATGTCACCAGGATCATCGAAGATGCGTTGGTGATAGCAAGGGTCCGTCTTGCATATTGCGCAGAGAAATCATCAATCATTGGGAAGTGGATCACCGAAGTGTAACCGAACAAGGCGACAGGTCAAGTGGCTCAAAAGCCCTGCGCAGGAGACTATGTTGCCTGCGGCGTTCTTTCGGCCGCAACTTGTCCGGAGATTGATATCCATCGTATAGTGCGAGGGCGCAGCGAATCCGAGCGCGGCACACAGGGAACTGTGCGGCACAGCAAGACCCGCCATATTGGGTATTGGGTTTGGAGGTAATCCTCTATCCCTGCAAGTTGATGCGGACCAAGCACCGGGGCAGCTCGAGACAAGGCCTGTTGAGCTGCAGCAGGCACTTGACTGCGCAACACCGTTGATCGGCAGCATTTGGCGTTTAGCTCACTGGATTGGCTATCGCCTGCCAATCGCCATCCCTCGGCGCCTAAAAATTGTGCCCGGCTCTGCACTGCGGCCAGTTTCACACAAGGCGTAGGTGATGGCTTATTTTCTTAGGCATGGTTCTTGAGGGTTCGGAGATATCGTCTGTGCGCTGTTTTCCTTCCGTCCTGCACGTTGAATCACTTGACTGAATTTGGCCCCTGTCCATGACGCAGCCACAGTGGCGGAAAGGAGAAAGCAAGGTCAGCATACCCTCAAAACACATCGGAGTCTTACGGGTTTTGGGAAGGGAAAAGAGGTATGATTTCATCAAAGCCGTCCTGTGAACTCTGGAGGTAGTTAAGACAGAATGCTATGGTGCTGATGTTTTATAGCCAACGAGACAACCTTGGAAGATCAAAATGTTAAGACAAGACAAAAGAATCTTCGTGTAACATCGGGAAAAAGACTTCGTCGGATTCTCGAACCAGGCACGTAACTTTCGATATCCTTATAATCTCATTGACAATACTTTTTATCAACTGGACTACTTTGAAGAAATTACACAAGGGCAAGGGCCCACATAGTAAGGATTGGCTGTAACCTAAGTGTGCGAGACAAAATGATCAAAATAGGCAATTTAGCCTAGTCTTCATTTAACTAGTAGATTGCATAAAGTGGGTATCAACTTGGAAAATACGGAGTAGCAGAAACGCAAACAAGTGAAAGACTGCACAGGACAAAAGATAAAAGGGGTATATTATTGAAACGCAAGAAAATTCGTTGCAATTCGTCGCGTCATGGATGTTCCATTCAACAACCCGGTTAATGGTGGCTCCTAGCAGCGTTGCGCTGCTTGGCTGCCTCTAGCGCTCTGAGAAGCCTCCGTTTATGTTCTAAGTCTTCATCTGTGCTTTGGCTTATGGGCGCTGGGCTGGCCGCTGGGCTGGCAGATGGACCCGGGCTAGTAGCCGAAGGGCGAAGACTTAGAGGTAGAGGAGGCACTTCACCAGATGGACTCGTTGGGAAAGGGCCTTGGGCTGGAGATACCGGGGCAGCGGCTTGTGGGTCATTGTGTAAGCCAAGGAGAAGGCGTTCAATTGTGGCCTCAATCTGCAAAGGTCCTTTTTGAATGCTCTGCAACTTTGAATTCAGCTCATCCTGGATTTTCTCATCCTCTTTTTCTTCTCCTCCCCCAGCCGATGGAAAATATCCGGATCCGAGTTAGCATATTGCGCTTCGGCCACGGAAACTCCATAGTCGGCATCATTTAGGGCCATATCTGCAACCCCAGCGCTACGGATGATGGCCTCCGAATCGGCTCGGAGGGACGCAGCAAAGGTTGCTGCAGATTTGAGAATCTGCTCGATCTCAGAATCTGGTAGACCGGAGGCTCGGAGCGTGGCGGTATCCAGCCGGGCTGCTTTCGAGGAAACCTCGTCTAGGAGGATCTGATTTACACCTAGCCCGTTCAGGATTGCGTCATCGAATGAATCCATGAGTCGGTTGGCTCGGTCATCACGATCCTTGCACGCTTCTAGAATGTTTCGCCGTTCCATCAGGTCAAATTCTCCATCTAGCCTTTGCAGACCAGCTATATCACCCATGACCACAAGTGGTCGCCGCTCAGCCCTCTTCCGTTTTCGCTCACAATCAAGGGCCATCTCAAGCCGTTTCTGGAATCGGATCTCAAGCTTGTCATGGATGTCGTTAATCATTTTCATGGTCACGGATGGGCTGCCTCGCTCGCTTGGTGAGCCTTTGCCCTGTTGATCACGGTCGAGTTGACTGAGAGCACAGTCGTAGGACTTGCGAAGCGCCGCAATTTCATTTTTCAGGCCCTCATCTAAGGGGTTAAAGACATGTGTCATGAAATCGTCTACTTCATGTCGTTCCTCCTCCAATTGGACCCGAGCCTCGGTTTGCCGAAAGTCTTCTTCCAAGGTATTGATGTCTGCATACCCAATCTCTTTCCCATTGAAAAGATCATCGATGTGCTGCTCAGATTCATCCTGACGAGCCACACGCTCCTGTTCTAGCTTTTGCCGTCTGGCTCTCGCTGTTTCTTCCCATTGGCCAACGGTCCGTCCGATGTACGACAAATCATCAGGGAACTTTTCGAGTTCTTCCCGAGTTGTGATGTGCCAGGAGCTTTCAGAGTGTTTGTCCAAGGGTGTCCATACTATGGTGCGTAATTCTTCCACGAGGCCCCTTGGCCGGCCTTGGCGAAGAGTTTCTGGCAGCAATGGAAGCGGCGGAGATTTTCGCTCAGCCGGTTTAGAATAAGCGACGCTCTTGTGACGAATTAGGCCCAGGAAGGTCTCGTCAGTTTCATTATGAGCCGGAGAAACAAGTGCAGTGTTTGACCTCGATCGAGATGTAGGTGCCGGTGCGTTTGACATGACTCGCCCGCTGACAGCAGCTTGCCGCAGATCAGAGTAGGCTTGATAGGCCGGGCGAGCGAAGGTGAGGTTGTCCGAGCCTCGCTGAGGACCCTCCGTATACTGGAATGGCGTGTATATAGGCCGCGGGGGGTTCGTAGTCAGAGGCTCCAAGGCTTGCTTCTGCATATCTGCCGCTATGAGCGATAAGGGTCTTGAGACACTGGACTCTGTACCTGAGGGCACAGTAGATAAACTAGGAACGAATTGCGAGGCTCGTTGCGCTTGCTTAGCTCGCAGAGGTCGACCACCTGAACTGTACTCACTGCGAACATCGTCAAGATCTTCATCCTCTGTAGCCGTTGCCGACGAGAGAGGCGGAGTTTCTTCTGATGCAACGGGGATCAGTCCCGACTCAACAGGTGATTCGCTTTTGCTGGAAATAGATAGCGGTTGTGGTGGAGCAGGGTCCGGGACTCGCAGAGTCAGCGGTTCAGGCTCATGCTCAATATTATAAAGAATTTCCCGGAGTTTGGTCTCTTTGGCCATGAAAGCCGTGAAAATCTTATATCGTTCTTCATCCAAGTCAGCCACTGCCTCCTTACGTAGCATGGCGACGTATCTTTCCAACGATGATTTAGACCAAGGGTCCAGATCTTCGAAGGGGTCTTGGTTTTTCGGTGTAGCTGCCCTTCTAGGTCCTTCGACCATTCGTGTAGAGCTATTTGAGTTTGATCGCAAGTGGTCGAAGTATGGCGAGCTGGTTTGCGCTGACTGTGAGCGCTCTACTGGGCTATTGTGATAGAATGCGCCGGGCTGGCCCTGATGTTCCGGTTGAACTGGTTTATGCGCAGGCGATAATGGACGGACCCATGCATCTATTACATTATCGATGCTTTCTGAGCGTCCACCCGTAGACAAGGCAGAGTTGGTGGTGTCCACGCGAACCAGTGGAGGCGGTGTTGGTATTCCATGTGTCGTGCATGGACTGACGGGTGAATTTGAGTTACCGCGTCCCGACTGTGTCGCCCCAGAGATAGTACTTGAAATCGTCTCGTTTGTATCTGTTCTCGGGCGGGCGACCATGTCAGGCTCGCTTCCCACAAACACATTCGGAATATCGACCGGGAGGCTTGAGGGTGGTTGAAACCCTTCGTGATGCAGAGGGGGCGTTCTGCGAGGTGGGAACCACGCTGCATCATCGAAGTGTCCAGGGGTTGGTCCAAGGTGCTCCCAATCCGATGGTGTCCCAAGACCCAGAGCCGATGCGCCGACAGATGTAGTATTTGTATTGATGATAGGCGCAGGGCGGGTTTCGTAAGATCCAGTCATCGCAGCCGGTCCTGCGCCCTGCGCGAGCAGTGGGGGTCGCTCGGGCTGACCATTTTGTAGGGTTGGTACATGTTGTATGTTTTGTGGGATCTTTGGGGGCGGTTGTGGAACACCAGGTGGTGTTGGTGTATATGGAGGTGGGGGCGGAGGAGTTTGGGTGCCGTAAAAAGGAGTTGTGACAGATGGAAGCGGCTGAGATTGCCCATAGGCATATCGTTGCTCATTGGTACTTGAAGGTCGGGGCTATGCGACTGTTAGTTGTTTATATTTGACATTCCAACGTCGGACTTGCCGGCAACGGGGGACCGGAGTTCTGGTTGAACCGCACTCCCCACGTGGTTGTATCCGCGCCAATCGGTGACGGCAGTCTCTGTGGATTGGAAATAGGACCATAGGTGGCCGGCGAATATGGAGCAGCTGGTGAATATTGAACCGGGGGGCGTGGAGGAGGGGGCGGAGGAGGAGGAGGCCCTGGCTGCGACGACTGCGCGGGGAGACGCGGTGGAAGTCGCCATTCTGGCTGTGAGGGAGGATCGGGATGCGACTGTCCGTGCATTATAAGATGAATCGGAGCACTGTAGACACTTTAAAAAGACATGGGAACCCTTTAAAAGTCCAGTTCAAAAGTGTCGAAGGATTCCCCTCCAGGCTCCAAGGCTGTGTTGGGGGTTGGGTCAGCACGGTTCACCCCCTACGAGATTCCCAGTGCAACTTCCCAACTACAACGTACTACACGTTGGGCATATATACAATAACTATAATATATGGGACCGATGCATCCAAGGCTGATCCAAGGCTTAGGATTACAAGCCTTCAAGAGAATTCCATAGGCCATGGTTGGTGTTTCATCCTTTGTTTTGCTATCCCTCATTATACTTCAAGGCTGTTTCCCACTAGAAGGTGGAGTGGATTTCAAGAACCTCCGAGGATCCCCGATCTCTCTGCTCATTGCATATTGGTGTTGATAGGAAGTTAGCCAAGGGATCTGTTGGCTTTCATTGTCGTAGAAGCAAGTTCATTTCAAAAGAACGCAAGTGTTTGGCTGTTCTTTGTTGAACTATACTCAAGTCAACTGCGATCATCTCCAAAAATAAACCACCATAATCTTATCCTTTCTTTGTTCTCCGGGAATCTTTGATATGTGGATTTCTTTCAGTCATGACCTACGACGAGTATGAGAACTAATCTAACATTTATACTCTCATGGCAACTCCATGGGTCCGTGTCGGCCTTATAGTCTCATACGATCTAAGGAAACTGGAATCCTGAGACCTGCCATACTCTTCCCTTCATATAGTCATCCTTACAACTGTTTTCCATTACTTGATACAAGATGGATCCGAGGCAACGACTACACGAAATCTATCCAGGTGGAGACATTATCCACCCACCCCCGTTTCCAAAGCGTCCAGATCTCTTCAATGGAGCGCCTCTAGCTCCAGCGTTGACCGAGGACAACGCATTTCTTGCCCGTCGATTTTGGCAGCAGCCCGATGAATCCCTTGGACGTGCATGGAAGGTGCATGCCAATCGACCTTATCTACGAGTAACCGAAGAAAAAAACCCGGAAATGCATGCGTTGGCTCACAATGTCTATGAGCACCTGATGAGCAATCCACTTCTGCCTATTTCTCGCGAGAATGCACGACTCAGATTCACAGCGGAGGGCTTGGACGAGACGTATAATGGCGTGCAGGGGCTAGACGCAATGGCACAAAGAGTGTTCATCCACGGCCTCAACGTCAGAGACCCGGATATTTGGACGAAGGATGCACTCACAGACGAACTGACATCAAGGGGGTTAAGCACAGACGGGAGAAAAACCGATCTTCAACGTCGTCTATGGGAATACGAATGTGATGAGCGCTTTGGGGTCTCGAGACAAAGCAACCTGAGTCACTGGGGTATCCATCGTGAACCAAGGCCTGTAATGAGCCCTGCTACGAGAACAGATATGTCTGCACTTGAAATGTACACCGCGGCGATTAAACTGAGCCCGTACAACCCAACTTACTGGAACAGCCGTGCGTATTGCCATTATCTGCTGGGCCATTTTGATCTCGCCATTGGAGACGCCTATCGTGGAGAACTTCTCTGCGAAGTGTTGACGACAGCAAGCCAAAGGAACAAGCGCCCTGGGATGTATACCAGAGTTTGGGACGCCATTCAGCAGCACCTGATGGTGGAATTGAAGATCAAGGGAGTCCAAATGACATGGGAAGTTGTGCAAATGAGGAAGGCAAATGGTATCAACTATTTCATTCCAACTCTGAGAAATTCCCTTCACAGTATCACTAGTCTCAGCCTCGCAGCACTGAATTGTTGGGATGATTTCGAAGACCATATGCAGGGTCAACTCCAAAGACCACTACAACACCGCGACGTATCAGTCCCCAAAAAGCGGATGACAGTGAGCGCTCTTGTGAGAGCGGAGATCGAGCACAGGAGAGAGAATCCCTCAGCGCTTCATCCATCCCTTTATGGACACGAATGGAGCCGAGGATGGATCTCAGGCGCCGATAAATATCCATACGACCAAGCGGACGTGAGACGGGAAGCACCGCATTTCATCAATGCACTTAATGCAAATATTTTCACAGTTAATGCTAGTGCTGGGAAGTCTTCCAAAGAGATATGCCAAGTACGACCAACACTCACAAAGGACAATTCCTTTAATGGGTTGGGAGTCTTTGCCACTGCAAGCATCAAAGCAGGAACCCTGATTCACTACGAGGAACCTGTTATTCGTGGAAACCTCATACCCAACAGGCTGCTTGATGATGAAAGTGAAGACCCCCTCCACGCCCCACGATGCGACAACTGTCAAAAGGTGATTGACCCACACGAGGTTCGGCATATCGAGCAGAACTGGGACTCCATTCACAAACCAGTGCGCACTCTGGGATGGGGACACCCGCCTACTTGCGCGTGCCTTGACATGATGTGTAATTGTTCGGATGTAGGATACTACAGAGCTACGAGGGGCGCTCTGCTATTCTGTTCTTCCAACGATGCAATATCAGACGGCGTGGCTCCCCATTGCTTGGCTATTGCACGCGAGACATACCATTTCCAAGAATTCTGTGGCCTCGATTGGGGCTGGTTGCACGATGCCATGCGACCTAATAAAGTGACGTGGGGTGGATCGCAGTATTTTACTCACACCAATGAACGCCACGGGACTGTTTTGAGTCTACTCTTGAAAAGCGTGTTCGAACTCACGCTCCACCGCCGCCAAGAGGACCCTGATCTTCTCGCGCATGAAATTAACGAACTCCTCGTTCTGGAGGCAGGTACTGACACGAACGAGCCGTGGAGAGACAGCTGGTTCCCTTTCACTCTGGCTGGTAATATCCAGGTACCTTTCGATATCCTCTTCCATCTCGGAGTGGACATCTTCAGCGACCTCTCATTCGACACTTGGGTTATTCAGACCGTGCTGCGGAAGTTACTGGTCAATGCTGTTCCCTGGGAACATGAACGGCGAGGTTCGAACTCAACGTTCAATGACCGGGATGGTCCCAAGCCGGTGCTACACCCAACCCTACAGTCTAGAATGAAAGACAAAATCAAAGACATCTCGGCAATGGAGCCATCGTTCGGAAACTTCTACCTCTTCCCTGGATTAAGCATGTTCAATCATTCCTGTCGCCCCTTTGAGAACGCTCTGTGGGGTTATGACGACAAGGTCCCCAACCGCATTGTCATCTGGGCGAACAAGGATATCAAAGCAGGGGAAGAGATTAGAATTCCCTATCAACGTTATAGGATCGCTGATGCTATAGATAAAGACGCCGATGTCAATATGCACGCCGCGCAGCTATTTGGAAAGAATTGCGAGTGCCCCAGATGCGAAGGCAGGGGACTTGTCCCTTCTGTTGATAATGGGAAGGCCAAGCCCATGCCTAATAGCGACGCCTCTCAGGATGACGGGACTGTTGGTTGGACACCAGGCCCTGTGATTATTCCCCCAAAGCAGGAAACTTGGGGTGGTGTTCTCGGAGAGGACAATTCTGAGCTTGGTGAATATATGAAAGAGTATCAGGAGATTGTGGATGATATCTACGACCAATATTACGACCTCGATGACGTGGAATCCCAGGATGGCAATGAGGAGAAGGACAAAGTAGCGCATGATAAGGATGAGGCCAATGATAGTGAGGCTAAACGTTAATGAGGCCGAGGACGCTAAGGCTGAGGATGGGGCTGCGGATGGCCCTGTATATTCGGGTGGCCCGGCGGATTCTGGGCTTTAATATAACAAGAATGAACGACTCTACTTACCTGGACATGTGAATAAATAAAAAAGTAGCATATACTGTACTAGCATATACTACATCTCAGCGGAGTTAACCCTAAGTTCCCCCAAAACCGATTTGGCCGGATTTGAGAATTAAAGAGGTCATATTATATGTACAACATATACTAACTACAAAGCACACCTTGGGGACAAACATCCTACATAGGTTATTAACACATTTAACCCCGCATATGGTGTGTACTATAAAAGCCCCCTCGACACTTACAGATCCTGGATATATACTTTGAGAACGGAGGCAACTTCATCGATACGTATGCATAGCCTAAATCAAATCAATCACCCCTTTGAATATTCCCCAATGAGCCCAATGAGCCCAATCACTGAGAAAATACCAAGAGCAAATAATTATTAGGCCGAAGAATCCGAAAAATGGCTCGGCGAGTGGCTGGTAGTCCGCGGCGTGCGCGATCAAATCGTCCTCCCGACAAAGTATACCTCGTCCTACCGTATACACAGCCAGTCTGAGATCCAAGCCAACTTCATCGGCAATAATGCAAGAGCTTGAAGACTGCGTTGACCAGTGTTGCGTTGGCGTATGTGATGTGGGTGGGCGGAAGGTTGAGCATTTGTTGAGTAATATTGAGGGGCTTTGGGTTGATTTGTCGGATGAGGATCTGAAGGAGATTGAAGCGGCTTATGAGTTTGATATTGGGTTCCCGATGAACTTTTTGCTCTGGGGGGATGTGGTTAAGGAGGCACATCCTGTGAATTCGTTTTTGAATACTGGGGGTAAGTTTGATTATCCTGATTTGCTGCGTGGGCCTAGGCCGAAGATGATGGATGCTTGAGAGCATTAGATTCAACGTCGAGCCTTGAATGGTGTTGTTCAGGTTAGTATTTCATTAGTCGTGGAAGAGACTAACCCAACGATAAAATCATGAAGCACCAAATCAAAGGATATAAGACATTTCCAAAAACAAATCCATTATATGCATACAGACACAAGCGGACCAAGTGAGATTTGTAAAATACATGGGCAAAGAACACACAAGGAAAACCCCAGGATCCGATATACAGTAGTAAACGTGAAAGACAAATTTGAAAGGCGGAGATAAGACAAGAGAAAAAAATGCAAGATAGAACCTTATTTCGAGACGGAAGCAGTGGCGCGAACACGACGGCCGAACTTCTCCAGCTCGCCGATGATACCGCCACCAGACAAGCTCCACTTCTCGCTCACCCACTGGTCATTGATGATCTCACGCAGCAAGCCGCTGCGAGCAAAGTACTCCATGAAACCGCGAGCCTCGTCGCGAGTGAGACCGCCCAGCGTCTGCAACTCGAGTGGGCTGGTAGTCTTCTCTGCGGGCTGGAGCAGCTCCAGGACGCGAGGATCAGCATCGCTGTAGGCTGGTAGTTGCGGGTACTCCGAAGAGGAGGCGCTGATACCGGCCTGGTGGGCGGCCAGGCGGTCCAGGGCAATTTTGAGAGCCGAGGGGTTGGGGCTGTTCGAGAACGAGGTGGCGTAAAGGACGAGACCGCCGTTCTTGAGAGAATCGCCTTCCTTCATCAATGAGAGGAAGTGGTGGACGAAGGCGAGGTCGTGAGCGTGAATCGGCTTGTATTCAGCGGAGCGGTAGGCACTCTCGGTCATCCAGTGGGCCAGACCGTCCACGGCAACAAGCATAGGAGGACGGGGCTTGAAGTCCTTCTCCAATCCTGCGGCGGGGGCAGTAGCAGTAAGCTCAGTCCAGAGAGCCTGGAAGACGCGCCAGGAGACAGCAGGGTCATTGAAGCCAAGCTTGGCGAGGTCTTCGAGGGTGGAGTTAGGCTTCAGCATCTTCAGAGCCGGGTGCTTCTGGGAGACCTGCAAGCTAGCGAGAAGCTCCCGGTTGGCCTCGACGGTGCGAGTCAACAGAGCTGAGGTCGCACTAGGCTGGACATACTGCACGGGGTTACTACCTTCGAGGGCGGCGTAGGCGGTATCACCGGACACAAGGTCTCGGGCTGCAAGATCGACAAGTCAGTAGCTGCAAGATTGTAATATACACCAGAAGATAGTCCTACTTACCATCGGGAATAGTGACCACAGCCCACTTCTTCAAGAAGCCCATGGCCATAGCCTGCAGCAGGTGCACAGTCTTGCCAGACCCCTTCATACCGGTAACAATTTTCTTGACAACCTTGCCCTTCTGGGCCTCGTTGCCCTCCCCAGAGATCTGTTCAAACAAACGACCCATCTCAATGGTATCACGTCGGAGGACCGTTCCAGGTCGGCGGAATATCGACCAGCCCTGCTTGGGCTTGAAAGCTTGCACAGCTCTCAATTGATCGATCATCGGCACAGGCAACCCCAGAACGGTACCACGGAGACGGGAGTCCACCATAGTCTCCGGAGACAGCTCCAGCATACCCTCGATCTCAAGGGCATTAGGGTTGCTCAGGACAATGCGTTTCCGCAAAGCCTTGCGCTCACCCACGGCCGGGGGACGGCCGCCACGATCAGCAACCTTCTTCTTCTTCCTTCTCAAGCTGGTTGACTGTCTGTGCTTCACTACAGTCATGCTGTTTCCCTTCTTCTTGGCCGGCTGGGCATAGTGCACGGCGGTGGAGTGGAAGGGGGCGCTCGAAATCCGGGGCGTTGCGGACGGCGGGAGTAGTGCTCGCGGTGACGGGCGAAGCCTCGAGAGGCAATTCCAGCACCACGAGGAGGCCATTGTTGTCAAAAACACCGGCGCGGCCAGTGAGGGGACAACCGGTGCTGAGATGGAGAGGTGGGTGGGAATTGAGTTGAGAAAACAACAGCAGTTAACACTTCGGTCAATAATTTGATGCGAAATCCGCCCGCCCTGAGAAAGGAAAGGCGGTCGGGATGCCTTAGTCATGGCAGAAAAGTAAGAGCGGCTGTATCTGATAACCAACTTTTTTTTCTTCGGGCTGATGATACCAACCTTTGAACATCAACAGTCTACCAATACTACTAGTATCGTTATGTCTGATACCGAGATGGCCAACTCCGCACCTGCGGCTGGTTCCAAGACCGAGAGACTGTAAGAACCTCTCTTCCCGAACCGGATACACGACCGCAAAAAAAAAGAAACCCAAGAAAAATATAGAAACTAACATCCCAATTCAGACCCATCACCGTCTCAAAGCCCACTCCCTACACATTCGACCTGGGCCACCTGCTCGTCAACGACCCGAACCCCCTAGAGCTCCCCGCGGACCAGAAACTGAACGACTCGCTGAAAGCCACAGCCCGTGATGGCGTCCAGGTCCTCCTCAACCAGCTCCTGACAACCTGCGAGATCAAGACCTCCGTCTCTGACGGCGTTCTTCTCACCCTGCCAGCGCCTAACATCCACCTCCCGCGCCACAAGCCGCTTCCCGTCCCCAAGGCACCCACGAAATGGGAGCTGTTCGCCCGCAAGAAGGGTATCGGCAAGTTCAGCCAGAAGCCCGGTGCCGCCGGCCAGGACAAGGAGCGCCGCAAGAAGCTCACCTACGACGAGGCTACTGGCGAGTGGGTGCCGCGCTGGGGTTACAAGGGCAAGAACAAGGACGACGAGAACCAATGGCTTGTTGAGGTTGATGAGAAGAAGTGGAAGAAGGAGGCTGAGGCTAATGCCGAGGGCGGTAACATTCGTGGTGTCTCGCGAACTGAGCGCAAGGAGCGCATTAAACGTAATGAGCGTAAGCAACGCTCGAATGAGAAGCGGTCGAACCCTGCTCGTGCGAAATGAGAGGTCGTCGTTGATTGAGCTTGTTTTTATCGGCTTCTTTCGTGCCCTTTTCTTTCTTGTCGCGTTTATGTTATGGCCTCTGGCCTTTTCCTGTTTTGATTCCTTTTACATCTCTGGCGTTGGGGTTGGGAGTCGAATGGGATTCTTCATGTATTGTGGACATACCGTGATTCACTAAAAGCACTCTTGTTACATCTGTCGATGGCCTTTACTCGATAGCTCGATGGCCTTGATTTATCTGTGTGAGGCTACAGGGATTATTGTAGCAGAAATGATCTTGCTCGAACCGAAAAGTGCCTTTCTCACTCTCTTTATTGTACAATCCTCGAAAGGAAACGCCAGATAAATAGTTCAGACAAAAAAAAGATGAAAATGGAGCTGTAACCCCCCATTGCAAAACGGTGCACGCATGAAGCAAATAGCGATGATGGAATTCAATGTCAACCGCAGAGGGGAATCTGGAGATGTCGCAATATCAAGCAAAGCACGGAATGAGATTTGTTGCGCTTCCAAATAGACAAGAGGCAGCGAAAAGAGAGAAGAGCAATGCAAGTTAAGCAAAATAGCACGAGGAAACGAAACGGCCCGCCATTCGCCAATTTCAGAGTAGATGCCAGGAGAGCAAAGGATGTACACATGGAAGAGGGAATATTGATGGGGCATCTGATCTCAATATACGGTTAAGACCAAATGACAATGGAAATATCCACAATCATACGGCTAGCGAGCGATGGGGGGTATCGTATCAGAGGTATGGGGGGAGGAGAAAGTCGTCGTGATGGGGAAAGGGAATTCCATTCTGGAACAACTTGTCCAGTCCTATCCGGCCCTGCAGATAGAACGGAAATCGGGCCAGCCAGATTGGAAGCAGGTCATAAAAGGTAGATAACGACGTGAAGCTGTTTTCATCCAAGACAATTCTGTCCCAAGAGAGATGTCTGTCGGATTTAGATTTTGATAGGAGAGAGCGGTGGGCCAAGCTCGGGAAGCTGAGACATGCTCCGGCTGTGCGCCGTCTCGATATTCTTCGGCGGAGCCTTTCGGGTTCGAGCGGTTGCTGGGCGAGCTGGTTCTAGGTGAGTGGTTGCTGGGCGTGGGGTTGAGGTCGCCGGGCGAACTGGCTCACGAGCAGGCTGCCGAGGTTCTTCCCCAGCGCTACTGCTAGAAGACGAGATAGCGCGTTCATGGCTGGCAGAGGCTAGTTCCTTTGCCTTGGCGGCCTCTTGCTCTACTGAGACCCGCAGGTCGCGCTCGTCCATCTTTTTCTCAATCTCAAGGTATTCCTTCTCGGTCCAGCATCCCTGCCAGCAGTTTTTCCAGTCACATACCAAGAATTGGAAGCAGAATGCGTCGATCTTCATACAGGGCTGGAAGCAAATGCACAAGTTGCGGTAGTCCATTTTGTTCTGGTCCACGTATGAGTGAAGGAGGTTGAGGTGGCATGTGATGGCGAAAAGGAGGTAGTAATGGTATGGTGGTAATTTGGAGAGCTCGTCTTTGAGTAGCTGCGGTGCGGTCGTGGCGCCTTCGCACTTCATAGCAATCATCGTTTGTGTTGCCTTGGGGAAAAGCTCATCCGGAAGCTCACGAAGCCAAGCTTTGAAGAGAGATCCAACCGTATTAATGTCGTAAAGATCAGGGATTTCGAAGAGATCGATGTCGAGTTCTGTGTCGAATCGTCGTTGCCAATGCTTCACCTCCCTACCACTACCAGGAACACGGTAAAGGCCCTCTTCCTCGCAACCCTTAAAGTTGAGATAATCAATTGAGCGGTATGGCAAGGCAGGCATCCAGAACTCGGTCTTGTCTCGGCAGTCTTCGAGCTTCTTCGCAATGCGGGTCTTTCTCGCCTGCTCAATGAGCGGAAGGTTGATCACCGAACACGTGTACGAGTCATCAGTGATCAACTCCCTCTCATTGGTGCTGCCGCTGCGAGTGATCTTGCTAAAGAATCCTTTCCCGGCCTTGCCAATACGATCCGCAGTGCCGCTTGATGAAGACTTCAGGTTGCTGAAAATGGTAGCCCCGGCACCAGAAACTTGACTCAGCGAACCAGATGCAACAATGCTACCGTGGCTACGCTCTTTTCGCAAAGACATGGTATCAGCTTGGCGTTCAGGAGGCTGCAACCCTCCACGAACGGTGCGTTCGGGTCGCGCGGTCGCAGTCGCAGTCGGGGTTGCACAACGGGGTGGATTCGCGGTCGTGGTTGCGCTTTGACTAAACTCTTCAAGTTTCGCCAGACCAGTAGAGGGGCGTCGGCGTGGTGGTCTAGGTCCGGACGAGTCATCAACTCGAATGGAGCGAGATCGGGTCAAAAGGTTTGCAAACCGTGGTTTGTTTTTCTTCGGCGCGGTGGACTCTAGATCTGTGGCGACTTTCTTGGTGCTCGTTTGCTGCGAACTATTGTGGCCTGGGGGTCCATCTGTAGATTATTCTGTTAGATATGGTCCATATATGTGGCCAGGGAAACCCACTGGTCCTTTCGTTTCCATTCGCATGGGCAAGTGTCCCTAGAAGATCAGGCGTTGACTCATATTGTTTCGAAGCCATTGTTGTCTTCCGTTCCCTGGAGCTGCCTCTGCTCTTGGGATGTTCGGTGGAGTTATCCGAACTATCTGAATGTTGTGACTTGTGTGATGATTTCGGTGCTTTGAGATTGCCAAAGAATGACTTCGATGCATCGCGCGTATGCCTTGAGTCTTTGGGGGGAGGGAAATGTTGAGGTATGGCTGTCAGACCGGGTGTCGTAGGCTCGGCTGAGCCTGTGCCAGGAGAAAGTGGGAGAATAGGGCTGGTTGGTTTGCTGTCGGATTCTTGCACGACAGGGCGGATCGTTGCGCCTTTGAATAGTGGAGAGCTTGACGCAGACTTGGGCGAACGTGGTGTTAAAGGGGTCGGTCCGTCTGAACCGTGGTCACCTGGCGTCACAGGCGATGAAACCTTCTCTTTCTTCGACTCAGTCTTGCACGAGCTCAGATCGAGGTTGGGCACTGTTGATGTTCGCTTTGACATGTTGGGCGGCAATTAGACCCGGTCGAGGATGATTGTGAATGTTTGGGGGGGTCAATATTTGTGGGTTGTGTGCCCCGTCACAGCTTCAGATGAATATGAATTGGTCCTTGGGTGCTAGATGTGTACTTGGTCAGCGCTGAAAGCCAGGTCATGTATGCGGCTGAGAGGCTCGTACGGGTATCAATGCTCGAGGTCTGACCGTGTGGTGGAGGGGCGAAGCGACTTTCAAAGCCGAGTAGTGCTGGGAGATAGGTAATGTTGTCTACAACATCAAGTGTAATGACGAAAAGTAGTATGGATCAAACTAAATATCGAGGACGTGAGATCTGAAGCGCCAGTTATAGGGTCAGCGCGAAATCAAAGACATGTGAAAGGAGAAGCAGAAGAACCCCCAAAAAAAAAAGACAAGAGGTGAGACCGCAGGTGACATATGCAGGCGAACCCCCCCGAGTTAAAAGAAGCCACACCCCCTCGACTCTTTGTTGACAGACAAGGCCAGGAACGAATTGCAGAAACAATGAACGGGGTTGCTTGATTCAGCTGATCACTCACCAAATTCCTCATGTTATGGATTTTCAATTTGTTTCCACCGATGTCTCCAGGTTTGTGAGACCAGGACTTGTTCAGTGCAAGTTCACTTTCCCCCCTCTTTTTAGGCGCTTCGAAGTTCGGGGATCGGCAGGGCGGAAGGGGGGCGAGATAGGAGTCGCGGTGGATCAAAGTAACCCGCGATGAAAGAATTCAATTTTGAAGACAGTATGATGTATTGATGTAGGAGTCAGGGTTATGAAAGGTGAAGAATTGAACTTGTAAACAAAAAAAAAAGGTCGCCAAAGTCCAAGTGTCTCCTAATAGACTTAGCGGTACACTAGTCCAAGTAGAGACTATCAGACAAGCCACGCTAGTATTATAGAAGTCATAATTATTCGATCATATCAAGAATCATCATGAATATTGTTGTATTGGTTTTATTTTTGGTCTTTAGAGAACTTGAAACCGTTCCACATTGTATATTATCTTTTTTTCCTACTCAACCACTTAAATAAATCTATAATTTCTATGGATACAGACCACCAAAAATAGTGGGATAGTACTAGTATATCCTATCTGATCCCCCCTGAAGGCAGAAACGTCACTATTGTAGACCCAAGGAACATCTGTGGATAATCAAAGAGTGACGGTGGAGGAGCCATCATAAATGTCCCATACAACATAAGTGTCCCATGAATGGTCATAAACGTTCATATCAAGTTTGGATAACACTCTAGGCTTACTCAATTGGTATTGGCTCACATCAGCCAAAAAAAAAAACCCCTCTCAGACACTGGAGAGGGGATTACAACATAGACTCTATTCGCGTTCAAAGGTAGTGAGTGGGCTGTACTCCGTACGAATGATCGGAGCTCTCCACTTTTGTAGGTCAGAGCCACGGAATGTGTTGCCTTACGTTGCAGTCAATGGTGGTCTATCATTGGTTGATCGGAGAACCTGTGACAGTACAATAAACCTTGGAATCAGTAACACCGTACCTGATTTCCATTGCCGGAAGATCCATGGTTGTACTTGGGGTTTTTTATGGTGTACTATAGATATAACACATATAACTCCATGATCTAAACTATACCAAAAGTAGGTGCTCAAGGCAATAACCAACAATTGCTTTCTCTATGTATTTAACAGAAATCTAAGGGGTAAGAGCTAAATGAATACACACACATGTCCGTGTCCGAAGTCGTCGCGTCCACTTTTTTATAAATTAATTTAGCCTGGTCTCGGATCCAACCTTGGAACCCATATTCCCGCTTGCAGATAAAGACCTCACACCATGGATAAACTACCGCCTGTGGAGAATTCCTGTTTTGGAGACAAGGTTACCATTGCCTACAATTGTGATGCGGTGTACATTATCGGCCAAAAAAAAAAACTTGTATAACATGGGAATACCCGGAGCTACAACATTGACAATACTATACTAGTTATAATAGAGAGAATAAATATGGATACTATATAACGGCTTATATTGTATTTTACACTAAACCCCTACAGCGAAAAATGCCTATTACATTGTATGTTGTATGTTGTTTATTGTAACTATGTCCTATTCAAATGTTTCTATCACATTTTTCTACTTGATACAGTTCTTTCGCACACCGCCCTCGCTTTCGCATATTTCCACTTCAGGCTCCATCATATCTGAAACATGGCTGGAGATGTCAAACTAGCGCCTCGGGGATGACAGTGCTTTTGGGGTGCACGGGACATTTTAGTTAGTCATCCTCGGACCGGGCTCCAGTTGCCAGTTGTCGGCTGGTCTAACATGCATCCTGGCAGTAAACCACTGGTATACATCAGTATGATATTCGAGCAATATTGTAGCTTTGTTTCACAGTAGGAGACTAAATTACCGACAGTGAAGGGCTTAGCTCCAACCACTCCAAATGCCAAATGTAGGGTTGCAAATAATATGACGTATTGAAAAAGAATGATACTTTGAGAGGGCTTGAATAGAGAATGAATACCTATAGAACTATCTAGCAAGTATATTGCTCAAATGCGGTTGATATAGCTAAAGGGCTATAATAGCCATGATTTCCACGCCAACGCCCATGTTACAGCAAACTACTCCGTGTGCTTAGTCTATAAAATATAGTGCTATATATAGTTAGACGTTTAAGTAATATAAGTGATAGTCATATTCTACCACATTTAGTAACAAAGGGCAAGTTCATATGTATCATATGAGAAAGAAAAGCATTGTATAAACAATATGCTGTTTAAAGGAATAAGATTGACTAGTACGATAGTTCTGCATAGTCTCTATATAAGCAAGGTGACTATGGCCATTGCTGTATGCATTTTTGTATATGCTAAAGTCTTATCAATCTCAAAAGGTTGATAACCCTAATTCATACCTACAGCATAGGTACATTACTATGTAAATTGTGGGGTTCACGAGGCTACTTTCAAATACCAGTCATAACTAGTATTTGAGTCTTGTTACAAACCAATTGAACTTCCCTACAACATAGATATGATATAGTTATAGTGGTCAATGCCCGTGGTATGACGATCTTACGTAGGCCTTGTAGAGCTAGGAAATAAACGAAGAATAACCATGGAACTAGTTACAGATATATTAATATGAGTGGATATCATTAAGTCTCTACCAATGAATGTTCGAGTACAATAGTATAGCAAAATGTAACAGAACCTAACTAGCGCCTGCCCACCAACAACATAGGGTGGATGATCAAATTGATCTGTGGACCTTAGAAATTTAGAATTAGCCGAAACACGTGCTCCTCGCTGCACACGTGATAACACACCCGTGGACGTCATGGATGTTTCCAAGGTTACCTAACTACAACATAGGTATGATCTAGAAGCTTCGAGCTTCACCGCCTTGAGCCAAAAGCAATAGTTGCACATGCTCTCAGACCTTCGACTAACCACTAACCTGTCCATCCCTATCCAATCAGTGCTCGTCTTCTGAGACCACCCCCATCGTTCCAAGACATGGCCCTAGTATCGGGCCCTGGTAGAGCTGGGGTAACCCCCGCAGACTCCGAACTACACACCTCAAGGCATGTCACTTACATCAGAAGCCTGGACACTGTGCGTGCTTGAAAGAAAATGTTGAGTGAATGGTGATGATTAACCAACATAGAGGAAAGATGAGCTGGAATATTGGCTGACCGAGCACCTACGACTAAATGGTGTCTACTGGGGTCTCACAGCCCTACATATTCTAGGTCATCCAGATTCGTTACCTCGAGATCAGACTATCGACTTCGTCCTTTCGTGCCAAAATGACAATGGAGGCTTTGGTGCTGCCCCAGGTCATGATGCTCATATGTTGTACACCGTCTCTGCCGTTCAGATCCTCATAACCATTGATGCTGTCGATGAACTCGAGAAGCGGGGCCGAGGTGGCAAGGAGAAAGTTGGATCTTGTACGTGTTCCCTCATATTCACTGATATCAATGATTGTTTACTATTACTAAACCATCATAGTCATTGCAAAATTACAGAATGCAGACGGTTCCTTCATGGGGGACCAGTGGGGGAAACAGATACCCGATTCTTATACGGTGCCCTAAATGCATTGTCGCTATTGCGTCTGATGGACTTGGTCGATGTTCCCAAAGCCGTTTCTCACATTCAAAGTTGTGAAAACCTGGATGGAGCTTACGGTATTCGCCCCGGTGCCGAGTCGCACGCTGGCCAGGTGTTTACTTGCATTGGTGCGTTGGCCATCGCTGGTCGCTTGGACTTGGTGAACAAGGATCGACTTGGAGCTTGGCTCAGCGAACGCCAGATCGAAAGCGGTGGTTTCAATGGCCGACCAGAAAAACTTGCAGACGCGTGTTACAGCTGGTGGGTTGGATCAAGCCTTGCTATGATTGACCGTCTGCACTGGATCGATGGCGAGAAGCTCGCCGCATTTGTTCTACAATGTCAGGTCAGTTGATTACCTATTGGGTGTGTGATGGAAGGAATTTGCTACTAACCCTTATTTAGGACCCTGACGCTGGTGGCTTTGCCGATCGACCCGGAAATATGGTGGATGTCTATCACACACACTTCAGCCTTGCAGGACTGAGTTTATTGAAGTTCAATGGCCTGCAAGAAATAGATGCTATTTAGTGAGCTATGATGCATCTGACTATTGAAGCATTTGCTAACTTGATTGAATAGTTGCATGCCCAAGTCAATCACTACCAAATGCCTTGCGGGATAATTGATCAGTTGGTCAATGAATGGATCAATGACCAAGACCAATACATCCAGAATGCACCCTCCCGCAATCTAATAACCCACCGTTCTTCTCTATAGACGATGGGATACAATGCGGGAGGAGAATAATGACCACGTGGACTTATTCCGCTTCATACCCCCCTACAATGGCCAAAGAGCTGTTAAGACCTCGTGGTACATACTCATTGTATCCGGATTGTGTACATTAAGATACCAATGAAGGAATGAATGAAAGTTGTTTGGGCTGAATGATCCCGTGATTCCCGTGACTCCCGTGATCGAACTGAGGACGCTCCTTCCCCGAATGTCAATAGCTAATTGATAACGAAAACGGTGAGAACCCGTCCGCCTTCTTGTCGTCCACGGGTGAAAGTTTATAACGAGTCTCCCATCCTCCCCCTTCGCTCCTTCACTCATCCATACCCATTTTCTTGGCATTTACACTTTGGTTGTTTTGCCCTTTCCTTTTACATCTCATTCTGTTACTGTGTTGCTTCCTGGAGGGCTTGCATCATGGATGACTCTGCCCTCCTGTGCAGCATCTGTCCTGGGCAACCCCAGTTCAGCGATGTTTCCCACCTGCTGACCCATGCTGCTTCCAAGGCTCATCTAGCCAGCCACTTCAAGCTCAAGCTCCGAACTGACGATCCTAACTCCATCGAGCTTCTCAAGCAATACGATGACTGGTTTGATGCCAATGGCTATGCGAAGCAGCTGGCTGCTCGCATGGCCAGCAAAGAAATTCGGAAAAAGAGAAAGTCGGATGAGGCACAGACTTCCCAGACCACCAAACGCACAAGAAGCCAGGCATCCAATGCCGACCCTGAGGGCTCCAGTACTGTTTCGGTCCCAATCACCCCCACCCCTTACTTCCTCGATCCCCGCCTGGCAGATTCCGACAATGACAAACGGCAGGGTGGGGATACAACCGTCACACCAACGACGCCAAACCAATTTGCCCCAACGAACAACAATGCGAAATCTGCGGAATCTCGAATGGGTCCTGTCCTCCGCTCAATGCGATCCTCCACAAAGCCAAACGTGCAACCAGTGGATGCTTCTGGGCTCAACAATGAAAACCGACCATTGGCTTTGCCTGTGACACCGATACAGCGCCGACGTAAACCGGCCCCCTTGGAAATAACCTGGACTTCCGGCATAGATACCCCTGATCCTTTTATCGACTCTGGTGATCAGACTCAGGCATCGGGTGATGTCGAGACGGACAAGACTCGGGCTGATGAAATCGCAAGACTCAAGGGAGTTCTGTGGCCAGGCATGGATATTTTTGATTCCGCCACGGTGCAGATGCGTCGTCAGCGCAACCAGAAGAAGGATGGTGCAGTGTTGAAGAACATGGAAATTAGCTCTGCGCTCGTGGAGCCAACCGAACTGGTCTTTTCCCCAAACGGAACTCTGTCGAAGCAGCGTGTGATCACGGGTAATGTGGAGGAATACAGTCCACTGAAAGGAGAGACTCCAGTTCCCCGGCGAGGCACCACTCGTACCAGGAGTACTCGTTTGACTAAAGCCGACCCCAACGTGCCCCGAGCTGTAGACAGAAAGCGACAGAAAACCGACAAAGACCGCAAAAACAGGGAAGAGGAAGAGAAGGTCAAAGAAGAACAAAAGTCTCCCCGCCGCTCACGCCGCGCAGCAGACCGTACTCACTCTTTTGCTGGCGACGACGACGAGTTTGATTTCACTGTCAATACCTTTGGCAAGCGGCTGAGGGGTGGCTTCAACATTTTTGTTGACGAGGGAAAAGAAGAAGAGGTTAAACCCGCTCATCCGGAACCGGGATACCGAACTCAGTTTGACACACTAACCCCCACTCGCCTTGTTTTGAACGGAAAGACAAACGCCGGCATTCATGCCTCGAGAATTGGGCACAAATCTATTGCCAAGGAGAACATTGAGCCTATTCTGAACCCCCAAGGCCGAATTGGCCCTCACGATTGGCAGTCTCCATTTGCCAAGCGCACTGCGGCTGACGACTTTGGATATGGCCTTCCTGATCTTGGTGACTCATACAATCCATACGACAACGTTGACATGGCTGGGTATCGATCCAACCCTCTGCAAGCCCCCTCAAAGCATCCTTTCTATGACAGCCACTACGAAGAGGAGCATGAAAGCACTGCAGCCCACAATGGCTGGCTTTCAATGGAGCAGACTGTTCCATCCGAAGAAACCATCCCGGAAGACGACCACATGTTTTCTCCGTACTACTTGACTACTGATGCGAACTAAATCCCACCGGCCTGTTGATCAACCCCTGATGAACCTGCTGGTCAACCCTGCGACACTGATGCTACGTGATGTTTCCCCAGATACAGAAGGTGTTATGGATATCCAGAACCGAAAACCCAGACAGTGACAATGGTAGCTTTACCATGATTTGCCCCCACCCGACGACCGTACCTTGTTCACACCCAGGCTGATTGCTATCTTTCATGGATTGTGATTATCCATGGGAGGTGTCCATTTGTATTTCCCACCCGACGACCGTACCTTGTTCACACCCAGGCTGATTGCTATCTTTCATGAATTGTGATTGTCCATGGGAGGTGTCCATTTGTATTTCCCACCCGACGACCGTACCTTGTTCACACCCAGGCTGATTGCTATCTTTCATGAATTGTGATTATCCATGGGAGGTGTCCATTTGTATTTCCCACCCTTGTCGGGTTGTTTGATATGCTGTACAATATCATGATTAGCCAGTATCAATATGAAAAATGTGAATTATGAATGCTTTCCCTGCCCTAATGTATACACTGTAGACTATTCCCCCTTGCGGGTGCTCGGGTGCTCTTGTCTTGTACGGCTCCAAGGCTTTTGCTCTTTTTGTCCTGGTTTCCTTTTGTAGTCCCTGTATGTACAAGCACCCTAATTTCATTCTATGTCAAAGAAGTACATACCGAAGATCTCTCGAAATGTCGCACAAGCACAAGCTAACCCCATCCATCTATGACATACACTTGCTACCTAAGTCCCACCTTTACGGGGGAGAACCAAACAACTAGTTATGTCTTAAACCAGGATCATCTTATGACACCGGCCATTAAGCGGATACGCACCGTCAATCACATACTTCCTGTAACGATACTACCCGCAGAACTTTCGTTGGTCAAAGATAGGCTACAGTGTTCATGGTCGACAAGTCAGGCATTGACTACAAATCAACTTGCTTGGAGAACGAAATCTGTGTCCTAACTACAACTCAACGCTCCTTTTGAACTCAGCTCTCGATATACATCACCTATGACCAGTCTGGACTCGAGCTCGATATGGTCGAGTCCCTTAAGGATTACGTCTGGGGACGTCGTTGAAGTGTCTCACAAGGTGAAAAACAAGGGAAAAGAGAGAAAAAAAACCTCCAAAGAGCAAACAAATAGGCTATTTATGGTATGACCTCTCTCAGTTTGTCGTGTCTCGTGTTAAGATATTTACGGCTACGAGATCAAATAACTAAACTGAGACCCGATTTTGATTGCTTTAGACAGTCAGTCCCATATCAAGCGCCTCTGCCTAGTATTTTATGACTGGCTACAGGTTGCGATGTTGTAAGCCCATTCGAGAGCACGTATCCAATCGTAAGCCGAGCTGGGTTGATTGACCCCGGGCCCCTGAATGTGAGTATCGTCAGACTTTACCTCATTAAAGCATTATTTGCATCTATCTGGGCTGTACCTGCATAATCTGCCCATATTCTAACCCTGTAGGAAGGCCGCTGGTCAGAATTTCAATTTGTACTAGGCTACTTTAGGAAACAACAAAGAAACCTTGGAACCTTAGAAATCATCTAGGCAAGTCGATTCCAATGTTGAGGTATCACGAAGTTGGTTACATAACATACGGAAGTAATTGATGCCTGAACACGTCGATACCTGGTCAGGTGCCTTCCCTTTTTGGGTGACAAGCACCGTTTGCACTTTCAATGTTTGCACTTTCCCAGTTCGTCTTCATCCACTGGGAAGGTATAAATACCCCCTCCCCCCCCGCATTTCTCTCTCTTTTTTTTTTTTTCTTCCTTCTTCAACACCCCGGGTCCACATTGCACATCGTGGTTCCCGTTCTCCTGACTCCGGGTAAGTGCTGCGGTCCAGGTTAGTCTGCCAATAGATTAGGGCTTCGGCTCCAGTCTAGGCTACGCATGTCGACTTGTCCTACTCGCGACCTCTGTGGATACAGACTGTAATCTCCTGGAGTCTCCACTTCCTGTGAGCTCAACCCCTTTCTCCCGACTCTGGGCAAGTGCCGCGGTCCAGGTTAGTCTGCCAATAGATTAGGGCTTCGGCTCCAGTCTAGGCTACGCATGTCGACTTGTTCTACTCGCGACCTCTGTGGATACAGACTGTAATCTCCTGGAGTCTCCACTTTCTGTGAGCTGAAAACCGTGCTCTTTGAGCCAATTTTTGGAACCTATCGTACAGAGACAGCGCTCTGTTGCCTGAGGAATTCTCTGAGGGCATTCTCTTTTCTTGAAGGTTCCTTCTTTCATAGTCACTTCGTGACTGTGCTGCACTCAGTGCTTGATGCTTTGTGGGCTTTGTTTATTCTCATTCATGTCAAGCTATCATTCACTCCTGTCCCCTCCCCCCCCCCTCCCCTTCCCTTTGTCTTTCTTTCAAGGGTCGTAGATGTTCTCACCAGTAACAATACACATTCACTCATGTAAATCTAAATCATATTGACCCCTACCTGTGGACTCCTGGTACATGAATCTGACATATACTCTCCTTCCTACAATACAGCCTTGACTGAAGTTGTTCTTCGTTAATGTAAATAACGGGCTACAGATGAGCTAGAAATGGGACAGGCCCCCTGAGTATATTCAATGGGACATAAATACAGCCTTTGAGTCTCAAGTGGATGCTTTAAATTGTGAATATTATCTTACTCCTAGCATATTTCTATCTGATATCTGATAACCTGAAGACCAAGGATGATGATTTCGGAAAGGCTGTACCTAGGTAGGTCTATATCGGTGCTGAGTCAGCAACCAATTAACGCCCAAGCGCGTTCTGTACGCGTCGAGCTCCGAGTAGATTGCGGAGAACTCACATGGAACTCGATTTGAAGCATTCTTAATCTGAGATGAAATACCATTTATTAAATTCCATTGAAGTTCATATCCCACCACCACAACACAGAATCCCTACGTTCAACGCCACTGTCACCTTGCATACTTGCGGTGGGAACAGTTGGAGTCATCCTTCGTCAAGATGGCACCTCATTCTTCGCAGTCCTCCGCACCCTCTCCATCGTTGAAACGAAAGCAAGCAAGCATCTCCAGCTTCTTCACCCAGAAACCCGCATCCTCGGCCACGCCTAAAGACCCCGCACCGACCCCGGCCAAGGCGCTCAAGGAAAGACAAGCGTCGCCAGTCAACAAGATCGAGCCGAAGCAAGACGATACCATCCCGGCAGATGACGATGAAGATGACGAGGATGACGAGGATATCGTTGCGCCAGCACCAAAGCGAGCCAAGACCACCGGCACAGACGCGGAGGAGCCAATCCGAGTTGCGACAAGCGCACACTTCGAGCACACCTCTCAGGCAAGCAGCAGCCAACGCACCGATATCTTCAAGTTTCAGAGCTCCCCTGCGATTGTGCCAGTCCACGCAGAGGAGGAAGATCCAGAGCAGGAACAGCGGAGAAAGGAGAAAGAGAAACTCCACCAGCAATTCGTCCGGAAGCTCGGCGGGTCAGATTGCCAGGTTGGGATTGGGAGAATCGCAGTGAGCGATGCAGCCAGCGCGGAGGCTGAAGCTGCAGAGGCCGAGGAAGATGATGAGCCTGCACTACCACCACCCCCGACTAAAGGCAAGGGTGCGAAGAAGGCCGCGAGCAAGCTCACGCCCATGGAGAAGCAGGTCATCGAGATCAAGCGTCAGAATATGAACACAGTGTTAGTTATTGAAGTGGGATACAAGTTCCGGTTCTTTGGAGAGGATGCGCGCATTGCCGCCAAGGAGTTGGGAATCGTGTGTATCCCCGGGAAATTCAGATTCGACGAACGTGAGTATCTCTTACATGCCATACCGAAAACATACTAATGCCATGACCTACCGCAGATCCATCCGAGGCACACATTGGCCGATTTGCTTCGGCTAGTATTCCCGTGCACCGATTACACGTACACGTGAAGCGACTCGTCACAGCCGGCCACAAGGTCGGCGTGGTGCGACAGATCGAGACGGCTGCGCTCAAGGCTGCGGGTGATAATCGCAATGCGCCATTTGTTCGCAAATTAACCAACCTCTACACGAAAGGAACCTATATCGATGACGCGGAAGGTCTGCAGGGTCCTGCGCCGGCGGCGGGAGGTGCCTCCCCTGCTACCGGGTACATGCTCTGTATGACGGAGACCAATGCCAAGGGCCTCGGGAATGACGAGCGAGTCCATGTTGGGATTGTCGCTGTCCAGCCGGCTACGGGTGACGTTATCTATGATGACTTTGAGGATGGTTTCATGCGGAGCGAGATCGAGACACGACTATTGCATATCGCTCCCTGTGAGATTTTGATTGTTGGAGAGATGTCTCGAGCTAGCGAGAAGCTCGTACAGCATTTATCTGGAAGCAAGATGAATGTTTTTGGGGACGCCGTGCGCCTCGAACGGGCACAGAAGAAGAAAACCTCCGCCGCTGAGGCACACAGCCATGTATCGGGATTTTATGCAGGAAAAATGAAGGCTACCAGTACCGAGGAGGATACCCAAGCTGCGAAGTTGCTTCAAAACGTCCTTGGCCTCCCGGAACAGGTGACTATCTGTTTGTCTGCTATGATTGAACATATGACCGAATATGGGTTGGAACATGTGTTTGATCTCACAAAGTATTTCCAGCCCTTCTCGGCTCGTTCGCATATGCTTCTAAACGGAAACACGCTGGTCAGTCTAGAGATCTATCAAAACCAGACGGATTTTTCGACAAAAGGTAGTTTATTCTGGACCTTAGATCGGACGCACACGCGATTCGGACAACGCATGTTACGGCAATGGGTTGGGAGACCTTTGCTGGACAAAGTGCGCCTCGAGGAGCGGACGAATGCCGTGGAAGAGCTTATTGATCCTGCGCGAGCGGTTCCGGTGGAGAGAGTGCGAGGCTTGCTACACAAAGTCAAGAGTGATCTTGAAAAGAGTTTGATCCGCATTTACTATGGAAAGGTAGGTAATACTTCTGCGATGACCACGCCTGTACTAACATCGAGTCAAGTGCGAGCGACCCGAACTCCTCACTGTTCTGCAAGCTATGCAGATGATTGCAATGGAATTTGCAGATATCAAATCACCTGCCCAAACGGGGTTCCAATCATCGCTAGTGGGCGAGGCCATCGCCTCCCTGCCCACAATTCGAGCGTCAGTCGTCAAGTTTTTGGATAAGATCAACATGCACGCTGCACGAACCAATGACAAATATACCTTCTTTCGCGAGGCGGAGGAGACAGAGGAGATCGGTGAACTCAAGCTGCAAATTGGAAGCACTGAACACGGCTTCTCAGAACACCGCAAAGAGGCAGCGTCAACAATCGGGAGGGGCAAAGTCGAATACTCGACAGTCTCCGGGATTGAGTATTTGATCGAGATCGAAAACAACTCCCCAGCTCTCAAGCGCGTGCCAGCATCGTGGGTCAAAGTTAGCGGCACAAAAAGAGTGTCCCGCTTCCACACGCCAGAAGTCCTCCAGCTTATCCGCGAGCGTGATCAGTACAAAGAAGCCCTAGCCGCAGCCTGCGACCAAGCATACAAAACCCTCCTAGCTGATATTGCAGCGCAGTACCAGTCCTTCCGGGATAGCATCCAATCCCTCGCAACCCTCGACTGCCTATTATCTCTCGCAGACATAGCCCAGCAACCAGGATATACCAAGCCCGAATACACAGAAGAAGCAGGCCTCCACATCGAGCAAGGCCGACACCCAATGGTCGAGCAACTCCTCACTGACACATACGTACCCAACGACACGAATCTCCAACACGACGGGACGCGCGCCCTCCTCGTCACCGGCCCTAACATGGGCGGTAAATCCAGCTACGTGCGACAGGTGGCACTAATCGCAATCATGGGCCAGATCGGATCCTACGTCCCAGCAGCTTCCGCGCGACTCGGTCTTCTAGACGCCGTCTTCACGCGCATGGGCGCCTTCGACAACATGCTCGCCGGCGAATCGACCTTCATGGTCGAACTCTCCGAAACAGCAGACATCCTCAAACAAGCAACGCCTCGATCCTTGGTTATCCTCGACGAGCTGGGCCGCGGTACATCGACACATGACGGTGTCGCTATTGCGCAGGCTGTGCTTGATTATATGGTTCGGTCCATCCAATCCCTGACCCTTTTCATTACGCATTACCAGCATCTCTCGCGGATGGTGCATTCCTTCCCATGCCAGGCTCTCCGTAATGTCCATATGCGGTTCACGGAGACGGGTAACAAGGACAAGGAAGGGGAGGCCGAGATCACGTTCCTCTATGAGGTTACTGAGGGAGTTGCGCATCGTAGTTACGGGTTGAACGTGGCGCGGCTGGCCAACTTGCCCTCGGGTGTTATTGACCTCGCCCGTCAGAAGAGTGCTGAGCTGGAAGAGTCTATCCGGCGGAAGCGCTTGGCTGGGCTTGTTGGGGCGGTTGGTCGGGTTCTTGATGATAAGAGTGGTCTCGATGGAGAGTCTACTGCTGATAGTCTTCTTAATAGGCTCATGGCCAGTGCGGAGCAACTGTAGTTTTTACATTAGGCATGGCATTGCGCATTTTCGGTTGTACACTTACTTACATATACACCACACACCATCTTTCAGACGTCGAGTTCTCGCATCCATGATCCCATACCATCCCTCAATTTCCGATTCTACATCCCCTCAGTTTTATGACATGCGTAGATGAGTGTCTTCGTCTGATTTTGCTATTTATATTAACGAAATATCCTACCTACTGCTGATACTTGCGTACATATATGAGTTTGGGTGTTTCTAGAATCCAACACCAGTGAATGTAGGCTAAGTGGCTGCCCCCCCCATCACGTACCTAGCTATGTATGTACATACGTACCTAGTTATGTAGGTAATGACTGAGAATCTATTGGATCATCCCCTTGATGCTGTTTGTTCGTAGAGTGAGTGCATGTTTGCCAGATTCAGGGTATAAATACCCTACTTCCTCTTCCTCTGTCCCCCCGATCTCTATAGTTCTGCTATAACATAATCTATAGCCCCAAATACTAAAGGCCTTATTTTCAGCATGAAGCCTTCGCTCAACGGTCGATACTTTTACCGTTGCTATTCTTCAGCCAGTGCCGGTGCACTAAGGTGTGGGAAATACCCCGACGTCCCTAAGATCCTATCCCATGGATACCTGCTTCGTGAATTCAGCAATCACATGATTCGAAGACAGAAAGTCCCTACTGCACTGATATCAGTTACCGACCGACCCGTTGAAGCGCTATATCGTGCCTTGGAGAAATGCCGCACTTCGCAAGAAGACCCAAAAGAGATATGGATCGCGATAATATTCGTTCCGGATGACGCCAATACACAACCTCACCATGCTCGCGAGTTTGCACAGCAGCTCATGGACAGCAGAGACGCAAAGGTCTTTAAACACGAGTATTTGTTCGAACGGGAAATCCCGATGAGTTACCTGAAGCACAATGTCTCGCTCAGAGAGCTATTCAAAGGTGGACGAAGCATGGGGTCGTTCCTCGACACAAACGGCTCTTTCCCAGGCACTCTGGAAGAATTCCGGAAGGTGATAATGAGTGAGATATTGTTGGACGCTTACGGCGCTGGTCGTTGGATAGGAGGCATCGCCCGAGCTTTCGGTGTCAGGGCACCAGTGTACGAGATCGCGAACGGGATATTTTCGGATTCGCTTGGAAGTTTCAGGCGCATCGATGAGGATTCCCAATATTTCTATGTATATTGGGCGAATGATGATGGATTTCACGGTGGTATTGAGTTTGGGAGCATATGCTACGTTGAAGACGGAATTAGTGATGAACTCGATTCCTGGCTTGGTATTTGAATGATGAGCTGAGGTTTTGATATAGTTCTCAATACGGAGTACTGGTGATTCTTTTCTCATTTTAATTCATGAATTATGTTTCTGGCGTCTTGCTTTGCTGATGCTATCTTCGGTCTCTTACTTTCGGTTATTCTTTGGATTTTATATGGTAGGGCCTTAGAAATATATAGATACATTTACGCATAGATCTAGTTTGAACATCAATCTTATATCAATATCAACGAGGGAAGTCAGCCATTTATATATGTAGAGCCTTTGCCCTGAACATATATATGATGAACAGACGCGTATAACGTACCGATGTTCCAATTTATACATATGTAGGCACATGGCAGAGTTTACCGTCTACATCCATAGACATGCCTTGGGAACCCCAGACAGCAGCAAAACCCCGGAATATCTGATCTAAAACCCACATAAACTACACTGGCTAGATGTTCTACGAACGCTTTCAAAACCTCGACCTCGACAAGGCTGAACTGGAAGTTTTCAAACTTTTTTTGGGATTCCATTGTTCTTTTTGTCGATCGGGGTCCGGTTCGAATCGGCGTTTGTCCTTTCTAAGTACCAGTAATGGGGGAAGCTGGTACGAGGAAGAAAAGAGAGGAAACAACATCACAACCTCGTTTGTCGCATTGAGCCCATGCAAGCACGCCTAGAAGGACGTGTGTGTATGTAGTAAAACACCAAGATCGAAACCAGACCAGACCGTGCCACAAGTCCACAAACCAGCCCTCGCGCAAGAACCTGAATTCGTTTTCTCGTATCAATAAAAAAAAAGGCTTTCTATTATCTTTTTTGCGCTCTCTGCTCCTCTCTCTCACGATCGTTTCTCCATAATCGACCTTCCGGGACTTTTGGCGTTATAAAAACCAAAAAGTCAATCCACCCAAACCATCACCTCCAGTCGAAACGTCGGAAATCGTAGAAACGGCCGAGAGTCGGCAGACGGGAATGGGTTGAGCAGCGCGGCGGTTTAGGGCTGAGGAAGATAGGAGGTTGAAGGTACGGCAAGAAAGAAAAGCGGGGGACTCGATTTTGGCCGAAGAGTAATCATGAAAAACCGGTCGTAAGGGATATGCGAGAGAAGAAGAGAGACAAAATAGACGACGCGAGCGAAATTTCGTTTTGGTGGATTTTAACGGAGACGGCGGGCCTCGCGCTCGGACTCGAGCAGGCAGAGGATGTCGTCAACGCGGACTGGTGCGGAAGGAATAGATGTTAGTGATGCGGTTCGGTAAACTTTTCGTCTTTTGGGTCGATCTTCGAAAATTCCATATTTCAACATGGAGGGGCTCTTTTTCATTGTAGAATGAATAGAGTTGACCAATGTATGTTCCTCCTCTTGTGATCCCAAAAGACGAACGGATTCAGGGAATTCAATGTCGCATACCTGGGCCCTTGACGTTGCGGATGATGGAACGCGAGGTGTCGTCCATGAACTCGACGCGGACCTGGGTGACACCACCACGGGATCCTAAATGAATAGACCACAAATTAGCCATTGCTATTCCTCCAAGTGTCTGGTTTTCATCGGTTTGTTTCGGGCGATCCGGGGCGCAATGGGTGCACCCCGCGAATATCGAATATCGAATTGTGGGTTTTGGAGCTTCAAAAAGTTGGGAAAGCACATACCGGTGCGGCCGAGGACACGGGTCACCTTGACGAGCTTAACGGGCTGCTTGCTGGAATCCATCTTGGAGGTCTGGAGAGGGCGTTGAGCTCGAGGGTTGGAGTTGGTTGGACTGAAGGTAAATGAGTGTTGAAGTGGAATTTGGCCTGTGTGGGTTCGTGCAAATTACGCGAGGGCTCAGGGCTGGACACCTGAGCCGTCAGGCAGAATATGAGTCAGCGGATAAAATTGACACCTAGGCCGTCAGGCATAATTAAGGCAAATTAAGGCAGAACATATTTCTGAACTCCGATATCGTTCAGCATCACCATTAGACAAATTCGGCTTCCACAGCCAATTATCCTATGGAACGAATAAACGAATATGAAAAAACTCATTGAAGACTACCAGACATATCCTGTAGACAATCCCAAATAACCCAATACCACAGAATCTTATCACGTGGGCTCATACTGTCCAGCGAACACGGTACATACTCCTCTGGTCCCGTCACTAGTTTACCGGAGTAATCTGCCCCTCCAATTTCTGCCGCAAGAAGCTCCGGTCTCTCCTACCTCTGACTCTGACTCCTCCGGACTATATCAATTGTTCTACCTTATCTTCGAGATATTTCACGGTCTCAGAATTTCAATTGACTTAACCTCTTTGTCAACTGATCCCCGATCAGCTTATTCCCCCACCAAAAACCCGTGAAAACCCCCGCGCCGCACCGCTCTATCGCCATGGATCTCGTCAACCAGTGAGTCAAACTCAATTACAAACCGCATTGAGATCCCTACTAACACACTTATTCTAAACAGCTTGGAAGGCCGTCTCCTCTTCGCCGTCCCCAAAAGCAAGTTCCCTCTCAAATCGTGACTCATAGACCTCTGCGGGCCGCGATACCCACATGAACAAGAACCAAGAAACAAAGTCAAAGAACCCAACACTGACGACGCAAACCCCACTATACAGAAGGACGTCTGCAACAAGCAACCCTCGATCTCCTCGCCGGCTGTGACGTCCAGTTCCGCCGCGAAACCCGCCTCGACATCGCGCTGGTCAAGAACCTGCCCATCGCGCTGATCTTCCTGCCCGCCGCCGACATTCCGACCTTCGTCGGCGAAGGCCGCGTCGATCTCGGAATCACTGGCCGCGACCAAGTCGCTGAGCACGATGCCACCCTGCCCGCCGGCGAGGTCTCCGGCGTCGAGGAAATCCTCGACCTAGGCTTCGGCGGCTGCAAGCTACAGGTGCAGGTCCCGGAGAAGGGTGATCTCAAGGAGGCCAAGGACCTCGTTGGCCGCAACGTCGTGACCAGCTTCACTGCCCTCGCCGATGCTTTCTTCCGTAACCTGGAAGGCGCCGAAGCTGGCCAGAAGCTCGCCACGAAGATCAAGTATGTCGGCGGTAGTGTTGAGGCTGCTTGTGCCCTCGGTGTCGCGGATGGTATCGTTGATCTTGTTGGTATGTATTGATAAAGCGTTAGTCAGACTGAAATACCGGAATCCATCGCTAACACTCATTCTTCTATTCAGAGTCCGGTGAGACTATGAAGGCTGCCGGCCTGAAGGCAATTGACACCGTTGTCTCCAGCACCGCCGTGCTGGTCAAGTCCCGCCAGTCCAACAGCGACATCCTCACCCTCCTCACCTCCCGTCTGCGCGGTGTCATCACCGCCCAGAAGTTCGTCCTATGCCAATACAACATCCCGCGTGACCAACTGCCCGTCGCATCCAAGGTCACCCCCCGGTAAGCGTGCGCCTACTATCACCGCGCTCGAGGAGGAGGGATGGGTTGCTGTCAGCTCGATGGTGGAGAAGAAGCGCATTGCTACGGTAATGGATGAGCTGATTAAGGTTGGCGCAAGTGATATCTTAGTTATGAACATTGCCAACTCGCGCACGGATTAAAGATTTGATGATATTTGTTTTCTTTTTGGGGTTTTTATAGCATCCTTCTTCTCATGATCTTTTTTTTTTTCTTTATATACTGTGATGGAATTTTTCGGGATAGTGGTTAGTGGTTCCTTTTCTTCTGTTTGGTCTTGATAGAGACTGTCTTAAAGGACAAAAAGCACATACATAGAATGGGATAGGATTACACAGCATGTGTGCAAGGAGATCTATCCATGTTCGTATATTGAGCTTTGCTCTTCTATTTCTATATAAATAGCCTCGTCCTCTCCTGTTATAAAAACGAGAATAAACCAGATTCAAAGCCAGTATGATATACTAGTCACATACAAATGTGCTATATCCAAAACCCCAGCCCAAAACCCACCTAACCAATCGAAAATCATCAAACATATGGCAATGGTATCATCAAAAGAGCATCAAGAAAAAAAAAAAAAACCAGCACCAGAACACCAGAAAACAAAACAAAAAAATAGCACCCCTTACAATTCCTTCTCCCCCAATCCAACCCCTTCCTTCCTCCCCCGATGAATAGCCTTAAGACACTGTCCAACCCCTTCAAGATCCCCAAGCAACCCAACATGCCCACGATCACTCTTCACTAATCCATCCTTAATAATTCTATATCCAGGTGGCAACATAGCAGCCGAAGCAAGACAAACTCCATCCCCAGCCGCAAATGCAAGATCATCATACGCATCAACCTGCTTGATACTCTCACGCGAGACAACCCGCGCACCATACACAGTCGGTAACGTCTTCCCGTACAGCACGGCCGCAGGCGGGTATCTGTTTTCGGAATGGTGCGTCGGCCGGAAGGCCAGATTCTCCTTGAACCGTTTAGTATCTGCCAGCGTCCGCTGGAGGTACTCCCTCGCCGCGGGGAGCGGAATGGTGCTCGTCGTGGCTATCTTGTTTGCTGCGGCGCTGCTGCGCGGTTGCGAACCTGGTCCGACTAAGCCGTCCGCCGGGTTCTGGGCTTTCTCGGCTGCGTATGCGGCGTACGAGGCTGGGTTATGCGGTGTGTTGTTATTGCGGGCGTAGATGTCCTTTTCTGCTCCGGTGATGGCGTGTCCGTCATGTAGGTGGTTGTGTAGGTCTTGGGAGAGGAATTCGTCCGAGTCCTCGCGCGGACCCATGGAGAAGCGCTTTCCGATTAGTATGGGGATGTCTTTGAAGCCGAGGGTTGTTGGTGTTGGGGGTGCGGGGAGAGCTGGGCCCGTGCAAGGGGAGAGACGGTGGTCTTCCCAAGTTTGGGGGTTGAAGAAGTCGATGCGGAATTCTTTTTTGCTTTGTTTGTCGATGAAGCAGTGCCCGTCTTCTGGGAGGAGGGCGAAGCTCGTACGGAAGGTGAAGTTTACTTGCGCTGTTAGAACGCGGGAGCTGAGGAGGACGTCGTCGCCGCTGCGGAGGGGCCCGAGGATGTTCACGCAGTGCTGGGGTACGCCTGCGTACACGACTCCGGCGAAGAGATCGGGTCGCTCGTTGACCGCGTGTCGGGTTATCAGACCGCCCAGACTGTGTGCAATGACTGTAGCGCCGCGTCGGGATTCACCCGGTGCAGGTTCTTGGTTGCATGGTAGGCTCTCTAGGAAGGCGATGAGCCTGCGCGAGAGCAGCTCGGGGCTTAGACGCCAGTCGTATCCATAATCGTGGACACGCATGTCGCCACGCAGGGCATTTTCGCTCTTGCGCAAACGCTTCATCAATCGTCGACAGACGTCCACCGGGCCAACGTGGGAGAGAACCCCAGATGGGATGATGGTCTCTTCCATACGTTCCTCGTCCTCCGGGTGCAGACCGACCTCCAAGTCTACTTTCCGCAGATTCAGACCAACTTTCATCGGCACCCAAAGTTGACGATGGGGTGGCTTAGCAGACCGCAGGATTGATCCTCGATAGCCACCTAGAATCACAACATCGCCCGTGAGATCTGCCATTGCTTCTTCCAAGACTGGATGTGTTATGTTAGGGTTGTTGCGCGGAGTTAGCGGTGGGGTTGCAGCCCGCGGTGGCTGTTCCCCTTTGGCAGTACCGTTAACACCGTTGCTGTTACTTGATGAATTGTTTCCAAGATCTGACAGGAACGGCCGAGAGCCCCAATCATTGCGGAAGTCCTGTAAATGGAGATTTGGCATGCTGAGCAGCCTACTACTCGAGTCTTGGAGACTATCCTTGATTGCTTTGAACCGGCTGTTTACCTGGGTATGCACGTTCTCGTATAATGGTCGCTGCTCTAGGGACGATGCTGTGGATGACGCACGCAGATACAGCGATTGATCCGACGATGACCTCCGCAGACTTGGTGGTCGACCGGGCATCGCTGAACTAGGCCTCCGTATGAAGGAATGTTTCGCGGCCGAGGTTCCATCTGGCGAGCGCAGCTCAGGTATCGGTTGAGCGGCTTCTCCATCATCATCAACGCTAGAGCTGCTTGGAGCAAGAGGTGACGGCGGCGAGCGCAGGACCAGCGATGAAGTTCTTTTCGGCACTCCCGAGTTCTTTTTAACTGCGGGAGCTACCGTCTGGCTGCGGATTCGGTTTTGGCCATTGGGCGCACGGAACGAGAGAGATGGCCGTTTCCTCAAGGAGGTGAGATCAGGGAGGAATTTCTTCAGCTCGCCGGACCAGGCGCGTGGTCGACGAGGCAATGTGTTCTTCAATAAGGCCCCGACAAAGCCAGACCGTTGGCCCACGGCTGAATCTTTTGACCCAGCTTTTTCGGGGGCCGTGGCAAAAAGATCGCTGCGAGGCCCATGCGCGAGGCCTGGTTCGGGTTTCTTGTACTGCGGAGAGGGGTATGATGCCCGAGGCTTATGTCCGGACTTCTGTTCGCGCGGTGATGGTGCTGGTGGTGGTGCTAGTGCCTTTTCGGCCTTGGGCTCCACTGACTCCGGCTCGGCCGTGATTTCCGACGTAAATAGGCCATCCTCGCCAATAGTATCCGGTATGGGGGTGAAGTATGACCCTTGGTGTTCCAGCACGCGATTCTTCTCTTCCACGGGGGTTGCTCGGGCCTTCATGCGGCTCTGCTCGCGCCCAATGCTAACCCCCACCACGTCGCCGGCGGCATCTTCATCGGTGACCTCGGTTGAGTGCGGGATTGGTTCGTCGCTATCGGAGCTGGAGAAAGATGAATAATGGGAGGGGGAGTCTGAGACGACCACATTCGAGGACGTCTCCGATGAGTCCAATGTCTGGTTCTGCGGGTGTGTTGAGGCGACCACCGCCGTAGCGGTTTCCGGAGCCAAATGTGAGGAATAGGATCGATTGGGGGGGTATTGAGGCCATGGCGATTTAAGCCGAGAAAAGAAAAAGGCTCTGAAACCAGTTCAAAGCATGAGGTCGTACGAGTGTGTAACTATCCCCCAAACTTGGCATTGGATGATGCACACACCAATGTGGGCCGCACGTGGAGAAAGAATTTAAAGAGCTTGGCCCTGATGTATATATTGTACAAGGTGTATACCTAGGTATATTTGGAAGAAGAGTGTTTCAATGGTTTTTATTTTTTTCGAGAGAGATGAGTTGGTAAAGACTGGGAAACAGGTGGGTTCCACCAGCACAGCCTTCTCGGGTCGGTCGGATGTTGACCAAAATGCTTGGAAGGTTAGTGATTCTCCGAATCTGCTTTTTATATTTCAGTATTTAGTATGGGATATTGGAAACAAATTTGTTAGGAAATAAGCAAAATACTAAATGCTTGGCCTAACAAGGTACATGGATTACCTATGAACCTATTTCTCTTTCAACTATGTACATGCATGATCGACCATTCCTATTGAATTCGATATAACTATATAACTACTATATATTCTTTTGCATGTGAGAATGCTTTTCAAGGTTATAATAGTTACCGAATAGTTAAGTTAATAGGCCAATCTCCGATTGGTTATGTGCATCCACTTAGCTATACACTCGTATTCGTATACAAACTATCTATCCCCCAAATCGACCAGACCGAATCTCTTCCGCGCCTTTATTCGCAATTTCCTGATTCCTCTCAGCACCCTCATTAGACCCAAAAGCCCGATCAACAGCCGTATTTAACGCTCCACGCAATGACTCTCCAGCACCCTATACCACAATCAGAACCCCCATTTTCCCATCAAAAAAGATATTATCAACTTACATGAACCGACGCCGCAACACCCTTCACTTTATCTCCGACCCCCACACCAGCCCGTGAAGCTCTAGAATCCCCCATTTCCGCCCGCTGTGCCGTACTGGCTGTGTGCGGGAGCGGCGCATCCCCTACAATCCGATCATCACTGCGAGATGGCGACGGTGAGAGCGGTCGCTGGCGGGTCTGGGTTGGTCCACCCGCTGATGACCGAGAGTAACTGGCTCCTGTGGCTGGATTGTAGCCCTTGGTTGAGTCGTACTGGGATCGTGTATCGTGAAGGCCCGTTGGGAGGCCTGGGTCGCCGGTTGAGGAGCCGCCACCCACTGCGCCGCGGGAGGTTTGGGTCGGATCGGCATGTTCGTAGCTTTGGTAAGTTCGTGACATGATTGTATATATAAATATATGTATATATATAGTTGATTTATTGTTTGGTCTGGTATTTGGGGAAATGTAGTTGAGTGTTCTCGTACTTCCGTCGGTTCATACTTCCTGGACAATGACGTCACCATGAACATACAGTTGTAGTCCTGGAGATATAAGCGCTGGATATATATACATCTATGTACATCTATGCATAGTTAGTTATATCTCTTTTATGTCTAAAATAACAAATAATGCATCAAGAAACTGATTGTTTAACAACAACTTCTTCTTTGAGCCGGGGTAAAGTCGAGGTCTAAGGAGCACTCCGATGCTACCTACAACATACGTACTTGATATCCTCTGCCACTTCTTGGCGTCCCCTTTCCGTTTTGGTGCTCGGAAACCTTCCGTTGCCAAAATCAGCCACACTCCCACTGCTTTTCATTTGCATTCAAGTTGACTCCATCTGCAACCGCGAGAAACATACGAATCACCAAACACATTACCAAAATGACACAGAATAATGCCACTAGCATAAAAAACATCAAGACACGCTTCCTGATATGCTCGGACACCCATGGAATCGACAGTTTACCCGGCTTCATTCCGTCCGCGAAGCAACATGCAGACGTTGTTATTCACTGCGGAGATCTCACCACCCAATCACAACTCCATGAATACAAAGCGTCAATCCGTTTGCTCCAGGCCATCAACGCACCTTTAAAGCTTGTCATAGCCGGAAATCACGATTTCACAATGGACATACCAATGTTTCACAAAAAGATCGCAGAGGCCCAGTCATTAGAGCGTGAGACCGTTGAGAAAGCGTATGGATATGACGGGGAGGCTAGAAGATTGTTTGAAGGCACAGGGATTACCTTTCTCGATGAAGGCGTACACTCTTTCCATTTACAGAATGGCGCTATGCTGACTGTTTATGCCAGTCCATATACGCCTTCACTTGGAGATTGGGGCTTTCAGTACCACCCCGATAAAGGCCATGAGTTTATGATCGACAATGGTAGTGATTCTAACACCGTGGATGTTGTGATGACACACGGGCCGCCGAAGGGAATCATGGACTACACTGACTCCGGTGAACGGGCAGGCTCCCCTGACCTCTTTCGCGCCCTCGCTCGCGCCCGACCACAACCACGGATGCATTGCTTCGGTCACATCCATGAAGGCTGGGGAGCAAAACTTGTTACATGGCGTGAGAGAACTACCGCCATGCCCTCTCACCTAACGGATATCGACCATGGACGATCTTATCCTATAGCGAAGCTTTCCGATATTAAACACGGGGCCGGAAAAAACTTGAGCGAGGAAGGCGCGCCTATAAAGTACTTTGCTACTAGCCACTGTTCTGGGGATGCTCATCCACTGAACTGGGGTTCTCAAACGCTGTTTGTGAATGCTGCCATTGAGGGGACGCCCCAAGGCATGGATGACCAGAAAGAGAAGCTATCGATGCAGCTACCATGGGTTGTTGACCTTGAACTCCGATCTTCTCCTCAGGGAGCAGAAGAAACAAGGGAGCGAGCAAAGTGAACTTTGTAATCAACCTTACAATACAACATGCGAGGGGACAGAACCAAAAGGTAATTCGCAGTAGTCGCTCACTGGGTATCAATCTCCAAAATTCTCATCAATATCTATACAACAAGACCAAAAGCTCTGCCATCTTCGGCTTGAAGAACAGAATACAAACTAAACAATTCAACCCCCAGGCAAGACCTGCCGGCATCCAGCATATACTTCAGCTCTTGATCATCGAGCCCTGGAAGCAATTGGCCCGCCTTTACTACCTCGGATAGCAGCCATTGAGAGTCTTCAACTTCCCCATCACTCCCACGATCAACCGCCGTCATGGCCCTCAATCTCAATAAGCGTTGTGGTGGCCTGAGGCCGCCACATTGGTGCCTCAGACATAAACCCCTCCAAAACATGGAGATATCTGCATTTGTATAGGATGAAAAACTTCATTTTTGACACTTACAAAAAAATGTCGAGATACCTCACTTTGTATGGAGGCCAAAAGCTTTATTTTAGGACGAATGATTTACAGTACATTGTATAGGGCGGTGAAAGGAGTGGTCAATAATCAGGCCAAAGCTAGGCATCAAGGCATCAACATTTACCGGAAATAGGGTTCTGGCAGCTGGCGCCGATACTGCTGCGTACACAGCGCTGGATATATGTACATCTATGCATATATCCCTTTTATGTCCAAAATAACAAATAATGCACCAAGAAGCTGATTATTCAACAACTTCTTCTTTGAGCCGGGGTAAAGCCGAGGTCCAAGGAGCAGTTTTCCTAATATGGAACGTCTCCGATGTTACATACAACATAGATACTTTTATATCTCCCGCCTTTTCTCCCTTCTTTACAACACAGCTTTCTCCCTAAACATCTAATTCCCCAGATATCCTCCAAAATGTCCAAACAAATCATCTACACCACCCCTCCGGCCCCGGCCATCGACCCCTCTCTCAGCAGTGGCACCTTCCGCCTAAACACAGTCCCCATCCCCAAAGATGTCCACACAGACCAGCTCCTCGTACGCGTACACTATCTCTCCCTCGATCCGGCCATGCGCCAATGGCTCACCGCCAAGCGCTCCTACATCGCCCCCGTCGAGCAAGGCGCCGTAATGCGCGGCCAGAGCATCGCGCAAGTCCTCGCCGTAGGCAGCGACCTGACATCCAAGTACACCAAGGGCGACTGGGTGGTTGCCGGGTCCGGGTGGCAGGAATACGCGGTGATCACCGCGAAAGAAGCACAAAAGATAACGGTGCCGGCAGGCGGACGGCCCACGGATGCGATGTCCGTGCTTGGCATGACCGGGCTGACGGCCTACTTCGGCATGGTGGAGATCGCGCAGGTGAAGAAGGGTGACACGGTTGTTGTCTCTGGTGCTGCGGGCGCGACGGGCATGGTGGCTGGCCAGATTGCGCGCATTAAGGGCGCTAAGCGTGTTGTGGGGTTGGCGGGGAGTAAGGATAAGTGTGAGTTCTTGGTTAGGGAACTCGGCTTTGATGCGGCGGTCAATTATAAGGATCCAGACTGGAAGAAGCAGCTTAAGCTCGCTACCCCGGAGTACATTGATGTCTTCTTTGATAATACTGGTGGTGATATCCTTGATGCTTGCTTGGCGAGGGCGGCTCAGGACTCGCGCTTTGCTATCTGTGGTGCTATCAGTCAGTATAATGCTGCTAAGCCGCAGGGTCCGGCTAGTTTTATGAGTGTGATTGTGAGTTCTTCTTCGGTTTGGGAGGGTTATTTTTGGGGGCCCCCGGCTAATTAATAATAGTCGCAACGGATCACCCTGAAGGGTTTCATTGTCTTCGATTTTGCGAAGCAATACCCTGCTGCGCTCAAGGAGCTCGGCTCTTGGTTGGCTGAGGGTAAACTCAAGCGCAAAGAGCATATCGTGCCTGGTGGCTTGGAAGCGGCGCCTCAGGGTCTTATTGACCTCTATGCCGGTGCTAACACCGGTAAGATGATGGTTGAGGTGGCGCCGGTTAGCGAGGCGTTGGCTACAAAGGCCAAGCTGTGAGTATATCTACGGATAGGGTGTATTTCTGGTTTCATGTCTTTGATGATAGGATGCCTTTGATGCAGGTCATATTAGACCATGTCTATTTACTAGGCACTAAATATATTTCAATGTTGAGCAAATCTCAAAATCTTTTTCCAATCGAAGTCAGTTTAATACTGAACAGTAAAATATCCAAACAGGTTCATTTCTCCCCCTTTTTGTTCTTGTCTTTCTGCTCTGTTCCAGTATACAGTTGAAGTGACGTCATTTTGATATATACGAGCCCCGGTTACCACGTTCGTCTACGTTGATATATTCAAGATTTAGCAGGAATTGAAAGTCGTTCAATCAATTGATTGGAGCAACAGATGACCTACGAGTGATTCATAGACGCAACAGGCAAAATAGGACTAGAACAGGTTTGAGCTTTTGAGGTTTTGTCCTTATCCCCATGTTAAATCGTCTATATATACAGCCTTTCGCCATGCCTCGATTCTACATACCAGCTCTCAGCAAGAACCAGACAGTTCTAACATCAATTCCATCAATCCGAGTATCCAAGCTCTTTCCTCTCCTAACTTATCGTCAATTTGGAGTAAATCACACCGGAAAAGCTCCCGTCTCAGACAAGATCAAAATGGCAACCAGTGAAAGTAACCAAAGCTTTAAGCTGGAAAACCTGTTCAATGTGAAAGACAAAGGTGAGCAATATATAGTCCCTCTAGTCCACCATATCCTAACAACACCAGTGGCCCTCATCACAGGCGGCGGCTCAGGAATAGGCCTAATGGCCGCGCAAGCGTTAGCCGTGAACGGCGCCAAAGTATACATAACCGGACGCACAGAATCGAAACTCAACCGCGTAGCCACACTCTATGACAAGGGCGAGATAAGCGGCAAAATAATCCCGCTCCCAGCCGACGTAACGAAAAAAGACGAGATCAGAAAACTAGTCTCGGAGATCTCCACGCGCGAAGGCCACCTCTCAATCCTAATGAACAATGCCGGAATATCGGGCGAAACGCAAAAGACCGAAGCGGAAGACGTAACCGAGCTCCGCGAGTCCCTCTTCGACGATCCATCCGCGACATTCGACGAATGGGATGATGTGTTCCGCACGAACGTCTCGCAGATCTTCTTCATGACGACGGCATTTCTGCCGCTGCTGCAGCGCGGCTCGGAGGTCGAACGTGGCTGGTCTAGCACCGTGATCAACACGAGTTCTATCTCGGGGATCGTGAAGGTCTCGCAGCATCATTTTGCGTATAATGCCTCGAAGGCGGCGGCGATTCATTTGACGAAGATGCTTGCGCACGAGGTTAGTTCGTCCAAACTGCGGGTTAGGGTTAATCATATTGCGCCGGGGGTTTTTCCTAGTGAGATGACTGCTGGGGAGAGTGATTATATGCAGAAGAGTTATATCCCGGCTGAAAAGTATCGGGAGAAGGTTCCTGCTGCTAGGCCTGGGAAGGATGAGGATATGGGTAGTGCTGTGCTTTTTGCAGTTTGTAATCAGTACTTGAATGGGCAGAGTGTTGTTGTTGATGGGGGGTATATTCTTGCTGCTGGGTCTGTGTGATTGGGAGTTGGATGGTAGGAGTGGTGTATAACAAATTTGTTCTTTGTTTGTGGATATCTGAAGTGTTTGTGGATATCTGAAGGAAAGCTAGGAACAATGTCAAAGGAAGCATCTTCAAACCACCAAGTACATATTGTAAAGGGGTATCAAATTGCAGCCTTGTTCAATATCCTTTTGCTCCCGCTTCGCAAACCACCACACCATGTATCCATTCTGATCGCAACAACTTCGTAGTTGTGATACGCTTCCAAGAACAGGGGTGCAGCATTGCATACATAGCGTTGCGTCGTCTCTAGAGACCAGATATTAGTGACTTGTCTTCTGCGCCGGAGTCCCAAAAATAACACTATAACATACCTGCCCCAGGGTCTCAATTGGCGGGTATCCATCCTCCCCCGCGACGAGAATGAAGATACTCCAGATACCGCGCGTCTTCCTGATCAGGACGCGCACTACGCCACAACATCCGGTCGGTGACAAGCGCCATGTAAACCATAGCAGTGGCCCATACATCAGCAGGTCGAGAATCAAATTCACCTCGGTTTCCATGTTCATCATGGCAATGGGATTGAAAATGAAGTTTGAATTCCTCCGGAGGAATATACGGGAGCCTCATACCCACAAACGAAGCAGTGGGTGAGTTCGCAATGACGGCCTGACTGTCATTGCCAGAAGAAGACTCGGAATTTTGACGACATAATGAATTCAGAGGCCACGGTAGTGTAAACGACCATGCGCTCTGTGTAGGTGGCTGTGGTCGCGGGGGAAGAATTCCGCCTGCTCCAGCCTCAGCAGACTCCTCCCATATCCGCCGGACATGTCCATCGCCAAATCCGGCTAGCTTCACGGCGCCACTAGCAGTGAGCAGGACTGTCTCGAGGCGGACATCACGGTGTGCCGTGGCGTGATCGTGTAGGAAGGCAAGCGCGCGTAGGATCTGAGTTATTATACAGTCGGCTTCTTGGGTTGGAAGGGGACCTTTGCGGGATAGGAGGGTGTTTAGGTCGCCACCGGCGCAGTATGGCATTACTAGACAGAGCTGGGCGCGTTCGTTGTGGAGGATATCTAGGATTGGTAGGATATTTGGGTGGCTTGGATGTAGGGATGTTGAGTGGGAAGAGCTTGGGGGACCTCTAAGAATAGATCGTCGATATACTTTGATTGCGACAAGTTGGTTATCGCTTGCTTTATTTGTTTTGCTTTCATGTAAACGGGTTGTGCTGTTACAGCCATAGTGTACCATATGGCGATAACGACCGTATTTGTCTATGAAGGGGAGGTTTGGCGATGGGAATGTTGATTGTGATTGGATATATATTGATGGCGTTGACTCTTGCCGTAACAAGGGTTGCTCCTCTGTTGGGATGGCTTCCAACAGGGGTAAATTGTTGTTTTTGATAGCGCTACCATTGGATAGATGGTGTTCAGCTGAGAGCTTCCCTCGTATCAAGGTGTGGTGATGATCGACGGTCTGGGCTGGAGGACGCATGGCAATTATTGGACAAGTGTGTGGTCATGCCCTTGTATCACTGAGGTGATGACCGCGTAGGAGGACTCCAAAATATTGAACAGAGAAAAACTTCATATTTTCAACGAGGCATCAAGCCAATGCCCTTTTATAGACTAGGATTAGATTAAATAAGTGAATTCCCCCTCCCTTACAGATCTAGGAGGAACAATAAGGGTAGCACAGGGGGTGAAAGAATGTTCAACTCCAATTGCCTACATCACCCATAGACCACATTCAAATCGAGTCAATTGGGATATTCTGCGATTGGACAGGACAAACTGCTCAGCTAAAGAGCGATTTAATTTTTTCGAATCCTTTGAAGCCGCACTTAGCGAAATTGAAGGAAAAAGTTCGCTTGCGGAAGAGTATAGTATAATTCCGGGGGAGTGATGTGAGGTCCATAGTGAGTCTGCCAGTCAATTCTGTGGTGAGGAAAAATCCCTCAATGGTCCCTCAATGGTCCCTCGTGGCCGGGGATTAACACCGCACTTTCGTGGCTGCTCTGTTTTACCTGTTTTAGGAAATCTGCGGTATTTGTTCTTATCTTTTTACTAAAAAGCAAGAAAAAGCAAGAAAAAGCAAGAAATCTCTTCTGTTCCATATTCAAAGAAACTTCTTGTTGAACCAGAAGGAAACAGTTAGGGCTGTGTTCTGTATTGTCATAGATTTATGTTTACTGGTTAATGATTGGCCATAGGGCCTGTTTTATGGTAATATTACCTTAAATCCTGTATATGTATGTAATATATATAGGATGACTATATAAGGTACCATCTGTGTGTGGTACCTGTCTTTAATATGTGAACTTCCGCAGTTGCTCATGTACCTCTAGACCCCTACATTTATGGTTGTATGGATGGGATCTTCCCTTTATTCCCTCAACTTCCCAGAACCAGCAGGTCCCTCGTGGACTCGCGTGGCTGCGTGAGACATCTCTTGCGTTTGTGTCAGGGAGAACCTTCCCAATTCATACCTGAGCTTAACCAGCTTGGGTTTAGACATATCGGAGCCTTCCACCTGCGCACATCCTGGTGCCTATATAAAAGGCTGAGGGTCGTACACCCTATTTTCTTTTCTAACCTTTGTCGGTGTACTTATTTAGTCTCTGCTTCCCTTCCAGAGCTATAGTCTCTCTTGAAGTGCTCTGAATTAGTGTTTGTCTTCTTTACGACCTCGTCTTCCTATACTCTTACCGTCCTCTATCCATCCTCTCCTCTATACCTTTTGTTTAACCCATGGCGTCCATGGGTTCAGATAACAGCAAGACTCACGTCGATGTCGAGTCAGAAGGTGATACGCTCAAAGATGATGAGCGTACTGGACGTTCCAGACAGATCACCTTCGAGGGGTCTACCTCCGCAGATGGGGTTCGGTCTATCTACCAGCCGACTCAGATCAATCGGACCCGTTCGATAAGCCGTGACACCATTCATAGCACCAGAAACAGCGTCCAGGGAATGCCCGAACTGCCAATTGAGTTCCGAACCATCTCTATTCAGATTTCGGAATCCCAGAACGCCCCCAAGGAGGCTATTGTCCAAACAAAGGAGAAGCAGCCCCACCAAGACTACTTCGAGAGCTTAGACTTCCATATTATATCCACCGACGGCCTGTGTCGAGAATTCAATGTCGATCAGCGTACTGGACTAAGCTCGGCCTCGGCGGCCACACGTTTGCAGAGAGACGGCAAGAACGTCATTGCTCATAATAGGGAGAACTATCTGAAGAAGATCTTCTTCTACGTCTTTGGTGGATTCTGCTCTGTTCTTTGGGTCGGAGTCGTCATCTTCTTCATTTGCTGGAAACCTCTCAGCAATCCCCCTTCGGTTCAAAACCTTTCGCTGGCTGTCCTCATTCTGATTGTCATTGCCTTGCAGGCAAGCTTCTCGGCTTTCCAGGATTGGTCCACGAAGCGTGTTATGAACTCAATCTTGAATCTCCTCCCCGCAGAAGCCATGGTGATGCGGGATGAGAAACTCATTCATCTCCCTGCCACGGAACTTGTCGCTGGTGACATTGTTCACATTGGAATTGGAAACAAAGTCCCAGCTGACTTGCGTCTTTTGTCCAGCTCGGGAGATATTCGCTTTGACCGTGCCATTCTGACAGGCGAGTCAGACGAGGTTGAAGGCGCCATTGATTGCACCGAGGCCAACTTTTTGGAAACTCGCAATATTGCCCTCATGGGAACTGGGGTCACTAATGGCAATGCTATTGGAATTGTCGTTTTGACCGGCTCTCGCTCCGTGATGGGCCGTATTGCGTCGATGACAGCTGGTGTCAAGCAGAAGACAACCTTGATCCAACGCGAGATCAATCGTTTTGTCACGATTATTGTCATTCTTACGGTCTTCTTGGCTTTGCTGATCCTGTTCACCTGGGTAGGATGGCTGCGCAAGGATCACCCTTCCTACATGAGTGTTGTAGCCATGTTGAACAATGTCATGGGGTGTGTTGTTGCCTTCATCCCCGAGGGAATGCCCGTCGCTGTTGCATTGACCCTTATGATGATTGCCAAGCGAATGAAACATACCAACATTTTGCCTAAGGGTCTATCAACCGTTGAGACTCTGGGATGTGTGAATGTACTCTGCTCCGACAAGACTGGCACTCTCACTCAAAACCGCATGTTTGTCAAGTCGCTCGGAATGGTTGATTGGGAATACAGCGTCGATGATTTAGCTCCTGGCGAATCTGGCACTGTTGATCTTCCCCAAGGCCTACAAAATATGCTGCAGGCATCTATTCTGTGTAATGACGCCGTGTTCGACCCGACTACGAGGAATCTGCCCGTTAATGAACGTGTCGTCAATGGCAATGCTACAGATGCGGCAGTATTGAGATTGGGTGACAGTGTTGGATTAACCTCCCCAACCGCTCTGGCTCCATATGAACGTGTGCATCAGATTCCATTCAACTCGAAGAACAAGTGGATGCTCACCATGCATCGTGATCCCAAATCTACCAAGGAGTTCATTCTTTACGTTAAGGGGGCACCAGATGTGCTGTTGGATCGTTGCGCCACTTATTGGTCTGCCGTTCACAATGCAGTTCGTCCGCTAGATGCCGAGGCGCGGGAAAAGTTCTCCAACTTCCAGGCTAAACTATCACGTCGCGCAGAGCGGGTGATTGTCATCTGCCAGCGTCGTTACATCCCACGCTCTGTTCCTGGCTCCAACGATTTCAGTAAAGAGATGCTAGACCACGGTGTGCATGATCTCACAGTCCTCGGTATATTTGGAATTGTTGATCCACCACGCCCGGAGACGGCCTCCACCGTCGCAGCTTGCCGCAAGGCTGGTATCCGTTTCTTCATGGTTACCGGTGACTTCGGATTGACCGCGGCTGCCATCGCTCGTGAGATTGGAATATATGATGGACAAGCTGAGCCAGATACCATCGAAGAGTTGAGGGATGGCCTCGACTCATCAATGGAAGTCAAAGTTCCCAAGTCTCGACACAGCCTGCTTCTTGAAGGACCCAACTTGTCGGCGTTGACTTCAGAGGACTGGGAAACAGTCTGCGGTTACGATGAGATCGTTTTCGCTCGCACCACCCCTGAGCAAAAGCTTCGCATTGTGACAGAACTTCAAGCTCGCGGTTTCGTGGTTGCTGTGACAGGTGATGGTGTCAATGATGCCCCAGCCCTGCGCGCAGCAGACGTGGGTATTGCAGTTGGATCCGGCAGCGATGTGGCAATTGAGGCCGCTGATCTGGTTCTTTTGGACAAGTTCGACTCTATCATTGAGGCCATTCGTCTTGGTCGGTTGGTCTTCCAGAACCTGCAGAAGGTCATCGCCTATCTACTCCCAGCAGGTAGTTGGTCAGAAATCTGGCCCGTAATCATGAACGTCTTCTTTGGTTGCCCTTCTCCGCTCAGCACCTTCCTCATGATTATTGTCTGTGTCTTCACCGATCTGTTCTTATCTCTTTCACTTATCATGGAGAAAGAAGAATTCGACCTCCTCAGCCTTCCCCCACGCCGTCCAACCAAGGACCATCTCATCAACCTCCGCATCTACGGCCAGTCGTACCTGTTCGTCGGTGTCATGGAGGCTTTCAGCGCCCACGCCATGTTCTTCCTATACATGTGGCGTCACGCCGGTATCCCCTTCTCCGACCTGATCTTTGCATTCGAGAACTACGCCGAAGGCTTCCACGGATATACCCAAGACGAATTGAACCACTTTGTCAGTGTAGGCCAGTGTGTTTACTTGGTGACTCTGGTCATCATGCAATGGGGCAACGTATTGTCTGTGCGCAGCAAGCGCATGTCTATCCTCCAAGCTGATCCGATCCGTCCAGCCCGTCGCAACCCATGGCTGCCTCTGGCGATTCTCATTTCGTTCATCATCGCTATCTTCGTCACTGAAGTCCCTGGGATTCAGAATCTGTTCAGCACGGCCTCAGTCCCAATTGAGTTCTGGTGTATCCCGCTGGGTCTCGCACTGGGCGTCCTCTGTATGGATGAACTGCGTAAGGTCTTGGTCCGCATGTTCCCCAAGGGACCTATAGCC